AGAGACGGCGGCAGCGACGGCAAGACACGCGGGAGACCTAAGACCAGACGCTGACTAGACATAGCACGCAGACGTGGAAGAGAAGGGTGTCCCATCCGGTGGTGCCACAGAACGGTGGGGTGGGCAAGCGACCGACAGGAGCAAGACGCAGCGACTGGACTGGACGCGACAACCTGAGGGGACGGAACCACCTGGTGAGACGCAGGGAGGAGACTAGGGGGAGGGACAGGAACTGGGAGGAGTGGCTGCTGCGACGGCGGCCGCTGTGGCTGCGGCTGCGGCTGCTGCCGCTGCTGCTGCTGCGGCTGCTGCTGCTGCTGCTGCTGCGGCTGCTGCTGCTGCTGCAGTCGCTGCTGAGCGCGCGGGCCAGTGTGAAGAGTGTAGAGACCGGAGCCCGGCTCAGCAGCAAAAGTGGCGAGGGGCTGGTAAGAGTCCCCGTCAACACACACCGCAGTCTCTCCAGAAGGCTCAAACCACACACCCACGTGCTGACTCACGAGGGGTCGCACGCCCACCAAGTTCCGGGAGAACGAGGGGACGTGAAACCCAGTGAGAGACCCAGAAGGAGCAGCCGGACACGGCAAGGTGGTAGTGTGACGCGCAGTGACTGGTCCCGAAGTGGGATCAGCCAGCGCCACAGAAACAGGCGCAGGAAGAGGCGTAAGTGTCGTGCTGTCACGAAAGAAGCAGTGAGAGGCTCCAGAGTCCAGCGTGAACGACAGCGAACCGTCCTCTGAGGTAGCCGCTGGACTAGAGTCTACACAAGAACCTACACTAGCAACAGGCAACTGAGCAAGGCTAGCACCTAAGCTAACAACACCAGAGTAAACAGAGTCAGAAACACTAGAGTCAACAACAGCATACATAGCATGGGGAGTACCAATCAGATCAACTAACTGCTCAGCAGACATGCCCCACAGAGCGGAGCCGTAGCGCTGAACAAGAGGCAGCCAGTCAGGGGCAGGAGCACCAACCCCGTAGACCAAACGAACCGTGTCAGTGAGCTGAGCAAAGCACTGACCAGGGGGGTGAAACCGGCCACAAGGGTGGCCACGACGAGTGCCTGTCAGAACCTGGTAGGTGCAGGGAGTGTAAGCAGCACCGCGCTGGGTCTGACGCAGCCCCGACCCTGGAGCCAGCTGCTGCCGCTGCTGCTGCTGAGGCTGCTGGGAGGAGAGGGGCTGCTGGTGCTGCAGAAGCTGCTGCTGACGCTGAGCCTGGTACCACGCCGCTGCTCCACCAACCGGGGCAGGAAGTACAGGAGGCGACTGACGAACTCGGGCGTCGCCACCACTAGCAGGCGCAGTGGAGTCACCAGTCACTGCACGAGGCGCCTCTCCAGGCCCTGAACCTCCACCGCCGCCAGGCGCAACGCCACCTCCACTACCTCCGCCTCCACCTCCACTACCACCACCAGAACCGCCTTTCTTGCCACTCCTACCGCGGGACCGCGACGCAGTCGTAACAGCAGCTGCAGTCGCGTCAGTAGCGGCAGTGGCAAGTGAGGCAGTAAAGGTGGGTAACTGCGGGACTGTGCACCCGTGGAAGAGTGGGGGGGGCACAGCACCAGAGGCAGCGGCTACCGAGCGAAGGTTGCTCTCGACGTCCTTGAGTGCAGACTCAAGGACATCGACGGTGAGCTCACTAGGGTGCTTCAGCAGAAGCGCGTCGCGAACGGAGGCAAGGCGGTCAAGGAGGCTAGTGGCGATGAAATAGATAGTAATCGCCATAGGGGGAGGAAGCAGTGCAAGCTGTGCCTCAGTGCAAGCAGCGCGGTAACTAGCGTCGAGCGAGCGGAGGTGAGCGATCAAGTCAGCAGAGCGCTCAAACGAGGCGAGATCAGGAAACAGGAACGGGAGGAAAAGACGGCCAAGAGAGACAGTAGCGGGAGTAGAGTAGCGGGCCTTAATCGCAGTGAGGTACGCAGCAGCGGTGCGAACCTGAGTGAAGTGGACCTCCTCTGACTCAGGGAGGAGGCTGCTGAGTGCGATGCAGGCCGCAGCGTCACGCGACGTCCAAGCCGTCCTGTCAGCGCGCTGACGGGCAAAGCGAGCCGTAGCAGCATCGTCAGGGGCAGGACCTAAAGCGGCAGGCTCGGGGGGCTCGGGGAGGTCACCAGTAGCGTGCGACCAGAGGGTCTCGCCCCCCTGGACTTGACTCTCTAACAGACGGCGAGCACGAAGAAGCCAGACGGAGAAGTCAAGAGGTCTACCGTCAGCGTCGAAACGAAGAACTCGCGGAGTCGCCATAGCGAGAACGAACGCGAACGAGCAGGCGAGTAACAGCAGGAGGTAAGAGGCAAATTAGGGTTCAGGTGGGGGGACTTAGTCGCAGCGGAAGAACGGGCTAGGGCGACGGGCCAGGGCGTAGGGTCGACGGGACGGGGGAAAGGGCGGGCGCGATGCGACGGGGCAGGGCGACGCGACGGGGCAGGGCGACGCGACGGAGCAGAGGCGACGGGACGGGGAAGGGCGACGCGACGGGGCAGGGCGACGCGACGGGGCAGGGCGACGGGACGGGGAAGGGCGACGGGACGGGGCAGGGCGACGGGACGGGGCAGGGCGACGCGACGGGGCAGGGCGACGGGACGGGGAAGGGCGACGGGACGGGGCAGGGCGACGGGACGGGGCAGGGCGACGCGACGGGGCAGGGCGACGGGACGGGGAAGGGCGACGGGACGGGGCAGGGCGACGGGACGGGGCAGGGCGACGTGACGGAGCAGAGGCGACGGGACGGGGAAGGGCGACGGGACGGGGGGAAAGGGCGCGACGCGACGGGGGGAAAGGGCGCGACGCGACGGGGGGAAAGAGCGCGACGCGACGGGGGGAAAAGGGCGCGACTCGACTGGGGGGAAAGGGCGCGACGCGACGGGGGGAAAGGGACGCGACGAGGGGGAAAGGGCGGGCAGGACGCGACGCTAGGAGTGGCGCTAGGCGCGGCACTACGCGCGGTAACAACGAAACCGGGACGAATGAGAGCTAGGATCAGGCTCGGTTGTCAGAATGAAGAACCCTCAGTTTGCGGAGCTCTTTGCAGACTTTTTGTTAGGAAATCTATTTTAAATTGTGCATAGGTTTGCTGATTCTCAGTATAGTGATGCGTTGTGGAACGTTTGAATACTGGCTCAGTACGGATTACCGTCGTCAGCGGAAGAACAAACCTGGCGAGGCCGTGAGAAGCTTGCATATGCTTGTTATGACCAATAGGAGACGTATGCTGTAACCTCTCAAAAGTATTTTTCACCAGGTGCGAGTTTTACAGTACAGTACCACTACAGTCTAAATGCAATGCAGCCTAGCATGCAGCCTAGCTCCCTGGTGTGTTGCGAACAGATGGCGCACTGACTGAGCCTCCACGGTTACAAGAAAACATGGGTTCTGCTACCCTATTCAACCTGTGGTGTAGTCACTGGCATGCATGCACCAACATGCCATCAGCAGAGTAGCACAGCACCATATGTTGCACACTTATGCACTCACGCACTCACGCTACCTCCCCAATGCAGGACAAAGGATGGATGGGCGTTGCAACAAAGGGATAGTTCTTGACAACCCAACCATCTGTTGTAGCGCCAGAAATGAGGATGTTTCCCAGACAGGCCCACACCGAACAACCAAACCAAACACGACAACGAGTTAATCTATGAATCCAGCGACTCTGGCCTAGGTGCCTGGGTATCCATTCGCATCGTGGCCAAGCCATGCTGCCAAAACTTCCAGTTTTTCCACCATCAAATAACCACATATGGTGCCTGTGTATCCGTCTGGATTGTGGCCAGACCATGCTGACAAAACTCTTAAAGGATGCTTTGCTTTCTCCCAAGCATGAGCGAGTCCAAGGACCCCCCGGGGGTCCGTCCAAAACATGCCGGCCCTCCACCTCATGGTGCCGCCCGTGCTCGTCCCTCCTCCCCTCGTCCTCTAGCTCCTTCCGATCCACAAACACCTCTCAATGGTCCTGGGGGGTGGTAGGATCACCCTATGGGCCAGCCCGAACCAGCAGTGGCGACAGCAACTCGCCAATTTCCCTATGGGAATGTTCCACCATCAACCAGCGGTTGTGACAGCAACTCGCGCTTTTTCCACCACCAAGGAACCACATCAACACTAGCAACAGGACTTTTTTCGTTTATGACTCGCTCAATCCAAGGACCCAGGAGGTCTGTCCAAGCCATGCCGCCCCTCCGCCATCTCATGGTGCCTCTTGTCCTCGTCTCTCCTCCCCTCGTCCTCCAGCTCCTCCCGATCCACAAACCTCCCGATGAGGTCCGGGGGCGGGAGGATCAGCCTCGGCGCCTGCCCGAACCAGCGGTGGCGGCGGCGCCAGGCAAAGAGGAAGGGGGTGTTGAGGAGTGGTTGGGGGACGAGGAGGAGGGGGGCGAGGAGGGGGTAGGGGAGAGGCAGGTCCCATGCCACTCGCAGCAGCGCTGATGGGACAGGGAATAGAGAGAAAAGGGAGGAGGGGCACAGACAGAAAGGAGAAGAGGTTGTGTTTCTGAAGCACTTCGAAAGGAGGAGGGAGGCGAGGAGGGGTAGCGGAGAGGCAGGTCACAGGCCACTCGCAGCAGAGCTGGCAGCACAAGGGAAGGGAGGGGAGGTAATTGGGGGGGAAAGAAGAATGGTCGCTTTTTACGCGCACTAGAACAAGGAGGGGGGCGAGGAGGGGGTGGGGGAGAGGCAGGTCACAGGCCACTCACAGCAGAGCTGAGAGGACAGAAGGAGAATGAGAAAGGGCAGGGGGGAGTATCTACCTGTGCTGATGAAGGCCGTTGTTGGCCGAAACACGTTCACACGCGACATCCAGGCCTAATGTGTCTGACCTTCTGATTAGTAGACCTTTTTCGTACAACTTCCCTCGCCTTTCAGATTAGTAGACTACTGCTATAGATCGTTACTCTTAGAAGGTTTGCTGCGTTTCGAACCCAACGAATTTCAACCAGGACAGAAGGAGAATGAGAAAGGGCAGGGGGGAGTATCTACCTGAGGGAGCAAGCAACCCACCTGAAGTGCCAGAGAATGAGGCGTTGAACCCCTGGATGTAGACCGGAGACTGGAGAACGTCTGAGGGGGTGAGGGCGAAAGCAGCGAGGTAGGGGTGTGCTGCCTCTGACTGCGCGCAGCAGAAAGAGAGCTTCTGATCCCTGTCCGCCCTGGCTATGCGCTGGACCACTGCAGCATGGGGGGGAGAGGAGAGACAGAAGTAAGGGGGCAAGGAGCGGGGTTCCATTGTCGGAAAGATAACCCTCTGACTGCGCGCAGCAGAAGGAGAGCTTCTGATCCCAGTCGACCCTGGCTATGCGCTGGACCACTGTGAGAGCAGGGAAGGAGTGACGGAAGGGGGGAGAGGAGCGGGTATTATTTGTTGAAAGAATTCTCCTGCCCTCTGACTGCCCTCTGACTGCGCACAGCAGAATTAGAGCTTCTGATCCATGTCCGCCCTGCCAATACAGTGAAGCACTGCAGAAAGGGGAAGGGGGAGGGAGGAGATGGGGAAGGCATAGGAAGTTTGTCAGTTTTCTCGTGAAGGGGAGGGGGTGTACTGACAGCATGTTAACACGCTAGCCCATTTACCAGCTAGCCCGTTAACACTTCAGCACGTTGACGCTTCAGCCTGTCAACCAACCAGCAAGTCGAATTTCTCTATTATCACCTTTTGTTCTCTATTATCACCTTTTGTTCTCTATTATCACCTTTTGTTCTCTATTATCACCTTTTGTTCTCAAGCTATCGTCCCATTTTCAATCGTTTCTTTCAGAATCACGATGGCAGTTCGAATTGAGAATGAAGTCACACAACCAACGCTCACGCAGGAGTACGAGGCGGGTCGTGAAGCACCCCCGTTTGCGCCCCGGCGAATGGTCAACAGAGGTGCTTCACGACCCGCCTCGTACACCTGCGTGAGCGCCGGTATGAGAAATTGTCAATTCAAACTTCCTGCGTGAGCGCCGGTATTGTGCCTTCATTCTCAACTTGAACTGCCATCGTGACTCATCAGCGTGAGAGGCATGGTATGTGCCATCTATCAGCAGCACGCGAGGCTCCACGCTCTCATGCTAGTCACTATCCTTTCACTCACCCGCTTTTTCTGACTCACCAGCATGGGAGGCACAGCATGTCCCATCAATCAGCAGCACGCGCGGTTTCAGGCTTCCGAAACTAGCAGCGAACACAGTTACAGGCGCGCCCATGCCTGCTGCTGCCGCCGTGGCGATTTGGGGAGTTGGTGGTGCTGGCCGCACCGGCTCACACAATCGTTCACCCATCCAAACCCATCCGAACCTGACTCACCAGCGTGGGAGGCATAGCATGTCCCGTCAATGAGCAGCACGCGCGGCTTCAGGCTGCCGAAATTGGCAGCGAACACAGCCACAGGCGCGCCCATGCCTGCTCCTGCCATGGCTACCTGGGGCGTGGGGGAGGTGGTGGTGCTGGTTCTGGCTCCCGTGGTGGAGGTGGTGGTTTTCGTTGCGATTGTGGGGGAGGAGACGGGTGGTGAGGAGGAGGGTTCTGGGTAGACGGAAACACAGCCGCAGGCGCGCACGTGACCACTGCTGCTGCCATGGCTATCTGGGCCGTGGGGGATGGTTCTTGTGGTGATGGTGGTGGTGGTGGTGGGGGAGGGGTGGTGGCGAGGGGGGTTCTGGGTGGACGGAAACACAGCCGCAGGCGGGCCCATGGCCGCTGCTGTTGGTGCTGTGATGGCGATCTGGGGAGTGGGTGGCGGCTCTCGCTCTGCTTCCCATAGTGATGGCGATGGTGATGGTAGGGGTGGAAAGGGGTGGTGAGGAGGAAAATGAGGGGGCGAATGAGGAGGATGTTGAGTCGACTCAGGAGCTCTAACACTATGTGGGCTTTCTGCTGCTCTCTCTGTTGCTCTCTCTGCTGCTCTCTCTGCTGCTCTCTCTGCTGCTCTCTCTGCTGCTCTCTCTGCTGCTCTCTCTGCTGCTCTCCCTGCTGTTCCTGCTACAGCAGCTGCAGCCGCTGCTGTCAAGTTTGCTGCTGCCAGGGAGTGATCGTGTCGTTGACACTGCTGCTGTGTCAAGGAAAAATTATCATTGATGTGGTCCAAGAGAAATGCACGCTGACTGCGATACCGATGACGTGCATGATGGATAGTGGTTGCTGGTGCTGCCAGCGAGGGATAGTTGTGACGTTGATACCGCTGCTGCTGTGTTACGCCATTGATGTTGTCGAGTAAAATCGCACGCTGACTATGATACAGATGATGTGAATGATGGATAGCGGTCGGCTGCTGCTGACGCGGACAGTGACGTGGATGTCGCCATAATGCAGCACCATCATGCCATCTGTGCTCCAGTGAACAGAATCGGTGGTGTAGTGCAGGATTCGGAACAGCAGATACGATGCTGGTAGATAGTAGGTGATCAAGTCTGTGCTCTTCAAGTCTCCTTTCTGGAACACCAGCAGTAAGAGCAGCTGCTGCTCTTGCTGCTGCTCCTCCTCCTCCCTCTCCTCCTCTTCCCGCTGCTGAAGCACATGCCTGCACACCCAACAACCGTTCCGGCGACCATCCACCCTGGTAGACCTGCGCCCTACTCCAAACGCACTGGGCTGACCGCGTTGACCTCATTGACCGCATTGTCGCGTTGACCGCGTTGACTCCCACCCAGAGTCTCTTCAAACCATTAATGTAGATTTGTTTTCGGTCTGTATCGGAATATGGTTCTGAGAGATCTGAATCTAAATCTTCCTGAGAAGCTGAGAGCTTTGGGACGTCTCAGAAACAAACCATGATTTCGGATCTGAATGTCCTTAACTCTTATTGGGAGGCTGTGAGTGTCGCTTCGGAGGAGATTTAAGAGCTGTTAGCTAAGTGCCTGATTTAGACCTCGCTGCGGTAACGGTAAGCGGCGCGGGAAAACAAGGTGGCCGAATCAAACTTCAGTTCACGGCGAGATACTGCTACAGCGGTGGAGGGCACACTAGACCACACGGAGTAAATCACCAGACTGCTTCCGCAAAGGTAGCAGTCGGAGAGGAAACCAGGCCAGGGACAGAGCTTTCGCGTATTCAGCACAGCTGATGTCACTCCCTGCTGATGTCACTCCCTGCCGATGTCACTCCCTGCCGAAAACGACTGGAGAGTTCCTACACTGGCAGGAGAGAGACGCTAGAATGACAGAAGGAATATACGAGAATGGAGAAGAAAATGGAGGAAAATGGAGGAAATGGAGGTGAAGCGTCCATAGGAAATGTCGCTAGGTCCAAGAAACTGAGATAATGTGTAGGCGATAGCTTACGGCGAAGTTTGCGAACGATTGCCCTCTCCACGCTTTTCGCCCAGCACAAGGTTGCTTTTCGCCGAGTCATAGCGAACTGTCGACGACAAGTGTTGCTAGAAATTGTGATCCGTTTCGCCACCTGAAAAAGGTTTCGAGTACTCGCCTCTACAGAAAATAAGGGTTACCTCATTATTATTCTCCAACCCATACAATCCGCTTGCCCCAGAAGCGAACTCTTCAAATGCTGTGCTATCCTTATATCGACTACCAGTCAATAGCACCCTAGACCTTCGTGAGGCAGTGTTTCGCGCGGCGATGCAGGAGGCGGGATGCGATAAGGCGACGACGGGTCCCTGACAAAGCGACGGGGGTGATGCGTCAGTGCCGTGCGAAATCGTCGAAGCTTCCGATCCGTCACACGACTGACCTTTGTCGCAGGCCTTTTCTTGCCGCGACTGCTACTAGACCTTCTCCCGCGCGTTCTCAGTCGTAGGTTGCAACTCTGACCGCACGACACGTCGTGAAAACGTCGCGCGATGTCGAGAGCGACCAAGTTCGTGAAGCCGATCGTGCTGTCCGTTTTCATGTCCAACCGATACATCTACGCGCAGGTCTGCTTCCCTTATCCGCCCCTATCTCATGCCCACTTTCCCCATCTAGAGTCCTCTCGAGCCGATCGTGCTCTCCGTGGTCATGTTCGACCGGTACATCCACGCGCAGGTGCGTTCCCCTTATCCTCTTTTGAGACGTCTCGAAACAGGTGCGTTCCCATGATAAGAACCGCGAGCATTTAGTCAAATCATGAGTGCTCTCTCCGATCGTGCTCTCCGTGTTCATGTTCAACCGGTACATCTACGCGCAGGTGCGTTCCCCTTATCCTCTCATGCGCGCCGCGCATTCATGCCCGGTTCGCTCCGCATCTGGAGCCTCGTTCCTGCTTCGCATCACCACTCACATGCGCGTCATTCCTTCCATTCCTGCGTGTAGAGGCTCGTTCCTTCCATTCCATCCTTTCCTTTCATCCCTTTTCGCTTCTCTGTCGCCCGCTTGAGCACGACGCGACTTTTGAGTCGACTCAGCAGTCACCTCGCATGTGGAGCCTCATTCCTGCTTCGCATCTCCGCTCACATCTAGTGGAAGGAATGGCACTCTGCATCCAGAGGTTCATTTTTTCCGCTCGTTCCATTCCTTTCATCCCGTTCGCGTATATGTCCCCTGCTTGTGCACGGCCAAGCCTTCCGTCTTAGTCACCTGCATGCCCGACGTATCCCATTCAGGTGTTTTTTGAGTCGACTCAAAAGTCACCTCTTTTGAGTCGACTCAAAAGTCACCAAGCCTTCCGTCTTAGTCACCTGCATGCCCGACGTATCCCATTCAGGTGTTAACCCCCATTTCCCCCATCTCCCCTTCAACCGACAGTTGGGTTCGGCCGTTTTCTTCAGGGGGTTGTGAATTGGGACGAGATATGACGTCCCCTTTCACAAACCCCTCTTCCGACCATCCCTTCTCATCCTCTCTCATCCTCACTTCTTCTCTTTCCCGAAGCTTCTTCATCTTCTTCTTCTTCTTCTTTGCCAAGCAGTCGATGGCTGGCTGGTTCAATCCTTTGCTCCTACTCGTCCCTCCCTCTTCTCCTCCTTGCCCCCTCTCTCCTCTCCTCTTCACCCACTGTCTACTCTCCTTCCCGCCCTCCTTCTGTTCTCTCCCCGCTCCCATACCCTCCCTTCTCTCCTCTCCCCCCCCCCCTGCACCTTTCCCAATTCTGTCCCTCCTTCCTTCTGCTCCTCTTCCCCTCTTCTCGTCCACTTTTCCCGACCCAGATTTACCATATGCAGGCAGTACAAAGACTCTTATGTCTATCATGTCTGTTCCTCTTTTCCCCCAACCTTTCATCCCTTCTCGCCCCCTGCCTCGGCTGATCCAGCTGCTGCCGTTCCATTCCACCGACCCACCACTGCTGCTGCTGCCGCTGCTAATTATTTCTTTCCCCGTTTCTTTGAATCGGCCAACCACTGATTCTGTTGCTGCTTCATGCAGGCGATTCACAAACCAACAGCCTTCTCTTCACCCTCGCCGCCACTCACCCCGCTTCACTGATTCCTGACCCACCCCATTTTCTGCCCCATGCTGTCGATCCAGCCCACCTGCTGCCGCCGCTGCTCCCATGCATGTGATTCGTGAGCCGATAGCCTTCACCCTCGCAGCCACATCCTCCATAGAAGTTGCTCTGATTAATTGACTTCTGAGGCACCACGTGTTTTGCCCAACTGCTGATCCGACCCACCACTGCAGGTCATTCACGAGCCAACAGCCTTCACCCTCGCTGCCGCATCCTCCATAGAAGCCTCCATGCGCAAATCCCTTACAAGCACAAGTGACAAGATAGCAGCGACAGAGGTTGGGAAGACCTTAGCCGCACGCATGCTAGAGAAGCAGATTGGTGCTGTGGCGTTTGAGCTGGGACCCACTCAGATGTACCATGGGAAGCTTAGGTCGCTGCTTGATGCATTGACAGGGTCTGGAGTGAAGCTTCTCTGAATGTTCTGCTAGGTGACTCAATAAAGCACACGGTTGATAAGCAGACATGGAGATACGTATTCCATTGTGGTGGCCGTACCAGGAGGACGCTCACGTGGCTGCTTTAAGTATGCAGGGGGCATTGCGAAGGGCATGTGCCTGAACTACTTTTGCCTGTGGAGATACCATATCCATCTCTGAATGATTTCTTGTTTCGGAAAACGTATAAGGTAAATCGAGTTCAGCGTCTCGCCGAAGATTTGTTCGGATTGGTTGACATGTCCGTCAGACTCTGGTTGACTTCAGCGAAAGCTTAAATTCATCGCAGCAATGTCGTGTGAGCTCGCTTGTCGCCTTCAGTCCGCCAACAATGTCGTACCCTGCTTTCGCCAGTCCGTATCTTGATTTCGCATGCTCCTCCAGTCTTGCACACGGTATCGAGGTGAAATCTGTTTGTCTATCCCGTATCGCTCGCTGCAATACAAGTCCGTAACTTCCAATCGCCGTCGTCGCAAACTTCAACCCGCACGGCACCGATGGAAGCCGAATCGCGCGGATCAGCAAATTGGAAACATAAATTGGGAGCGCAAATTCTCTTGAAGCACAACACACACAGGAAAAGGAAACCTGACAGCAACTTGCTGTCTTTCTCGCTTTCTTGCTGGACAGCAACCAAACCCACACTAGATTATTCCAGCCCCAGTGTTATAGCACCTCATCTACCCTAGTACCGTGGTGCTACGTCTAATTCGACGATTCCAATCGGCATTCCGCGCGCGATCCTTCAAACGCGCCATGGCGACTCCACGGCTCATACCCATCGTCCTTCTCTTCCTGTTCGTCGGCTCGTGCACAGCCCACATGACGCCATCAACCCTGGCGGGCCGTTCTAAGCTCAACAAACCCACTCCTCCTAAACCCGCACATGGCCGCGACACCACCGCTTATAGAGTCGCTCCAGTGACTCCGAAGACTGTCCTCGCGGCAAATGATCCAGATTCAAGCGATTCTGGCGCGCCAAAAGACGCGTCAAGTGTTCCGTCTGAAGTGAAGTCTGGTCCCGTGCTTCCTCCGCGTGCTCCCCCTCACCATGTCGACTATGTCAAGGATGCGGGGAACAATGGCCTGGGCGCTGAACCGGCGGGCACGGGCGCGGCTAAGGTCGCACCGAAGAATGTGAAGGGCGAACCGAACAAGATCGCAGCCAAGGGCGCGGCGGGAATGGTTGCACCGAACAAGGTCTCGGCGGACAAAGGCGCAGCAGGCAAGAGCGCGATTAACAACGGCGCACCGAAGAAGGTCGTGAACAAGGGCGCGGCGGGAACGGTCACACCGACCAAGGGCGCAGCGGAAAAAGGCGCAGACAGCTTGAAGGGCACGGTCAGCAACGGCGCACCAAAGAAGGCCGCAGCCAAGGGTGCGGCGGGAATGGTCGCACCGAGAAAGGGCGCGGCGGACAAAGACGCAGGCAAGGGCGCGGCTAAAAACGGCGCACCGAACAAGATCGCAGCCAAGGGTACGGGGGGATTGGTTGCACCGAACAAGGGCACGGCGGCGACGAACAAGGGCGCGGAGAACAAGGTCCAACCGCCGCGCCCGCACGCCGTCCGTCCTCACACGGCGCCGGTGCCTGCCGCGAGTCACATCGCCAAGAACCACCCTGATGCTGCGACGATGGGAGCAAGCAGCAACAAACCCGGCGTGCGTCCTCACATGGCGACTGCCGAGGACGTGGCGATCGTTCCCCAGGCGCCGGCGCCGACGACTGCTGCGAGTCACATCGCCAATAATCACCCTGCTGCTGCGACGATGGGAGCAAGCAGCAACCATCATCCTGCTGGATCGAACGCACAGCACGCCGCCCGTCCTCACATCATGCGGACGGCTGAGGACGTGGCGATCCATGGTGAGGCTAAGACGGCACCAGGCAGGAATGCGGCACTTGCCCCGTCAAACGCGCAATCACCGCGCCAACACGACGCGCGCCCTCACATGGCGACAGAAGAGGACGTGGCGATCCATGGTGGCGCTAAGACGGCACCAGAAAATGCGAAACTTGCCTCATCAAACGCACATGGCGCGCACCCTCACATGGCAACGGCCAATGACGTGGTGATCGTTCCCCGGGCGCCGGTGACAGCGCCAGCAATGGCAGCGGCTCTGATAGGAGCGGAGGAGGAGGGCGGGATGCAGGCAGAGGCATGGAGGAATGTGGTGGCTGATGATGAGGATGATGATGATGATGATGATGAGAAGGACGGCAGCGATGAGGATGGTGATGATAGTGACGATGATGAGAAGGACAATGATGACAGCCGCAATGATAGTGACAAGGACGATGACACCGAGAATGACGACGAGAACAATGAGAAGGATGGTGGAAAGAAGGATGATGATGAAAAGGATGATGGCAAGGGTGGTGAGAAGGACGTTGAGAAGAACGGCAGCGATGACAACGGCGATGATCATGGCAAGGACAAGAATGAGAAGGACGATGACAAGGACGATGAGGACGACAATGAGAAGGACAATGGCAAGGATGATGACAAGGATGATCATGGCAAGGACAGTGATGAGAAGGATGATGGCAAGGACCATGATGAGGACGATCATGCAAAGGACAAGGACACTGGCAAGGGCAAGAACAACTTGTTGTTGAGTGACAACGACAGAGACAATGACAATGAAGATGAGAAGGACAACGACAACGATGCGGTTAGCTGGCATGGGGGTGAGAGCAGCAGCAACGGTCAAGGAAGGAGCAGGACTCATGCCTTGAACGGAGCAGCATCATGCCGCATGTCTCGCTTCAGCAACAACCGTGGCTGGGAGCCTCGCAGCAATCAGCGCACTGGGTTGCACAAGGCACAGCAGTTCCACATGGCAACGAGCAGCAATGTGACCATAACTCACAGGGGCGAGACTCAGGGCACAGTCAAGGGAGCACCCTCCCACTTGGCTCGCTTCAGCAACAACAATGGCTGGGACAATCAGCGCACTGGGCTCCATAAGGCACAGCAGTTCCGCATGGCGACAGCCAGCGATGTGGCCATTCACAGGAGCAGGTCGCAAGGCAGGAACAGTGGTGTGAACTACAGGAGTGGGCTCGACAAGGCACCGGAGTTTCGCATGGCGACAGCCAGGGATGTGGCCATTCACAGGAGTGGGATGCAAGGCACGGGCCGTGGTGTGAACCATGGGAGTGGGCTCGATAGGGCACAGCGATTCCGCATGGCGACAAGCAGCGATGTGGCCCTTCACAGGAGCGGAATTCAAGGTGCGAACCGTGGTGTGAACTATGAGGGTGAGCAGCTGGGTGCTGTTGCTTCTATGCAAGTTGACCGTGGATATTACGGTGGTGACTACAACGGCCGTGGCTCTGCAGGTGGTGATGGTGGGTGGTGACTACAACAGCGAAGGCGGCAGCGGTGTTGACAATGGTGAGTACTGTTGTGATAGGTTTTTAGTGGGGGGTAGGGTGGAACTCTTGGTTTTTAGTTCGTGTATATGAGATGGCTGAATATATTAATTGTTTATTGGCTTGAAATGGAGTATTTATTGCTGATGTTTAATGGTCATCTTGTAAGCATACAGCAACAAGCAGAGTGCAAGGTACAACAGCACTAAGAATTGAGTAAGAAGATTTTGCTCCACACTGGAAACGCTTTTATTTACATCCAACATAACTACACTAAGCAGAATTCGGCTTTTGTCATCTGTATGGCGCGGCACATCGCAGTACTGTGCGGTTTTATGCGATGAGAGATCTACACTCCTCTTTGCAATCCTTCTTTCTGCGATATGCATCTTTATCGATTTCTATTTTTTCAATTTCTCAGCATCGTTTCCAGTCACAGAGGAATTCGGATCGTACCTAAGCCTAGAGACTGCCAGTTTCACGACTAGGCCAGAAGCTGGCAGCAAGAAAGCGGTAATCTCGGGGACCAGGAAATACATACCTTGGCGGGAAACTATTTTTCAGGAACTAGTTCGTCAGAACGTAGTCCGCAGAACGATTTTCTTTTCGAGTAACTACTCAATTCGTTTCAGCGAGTAGTGCTTCGGGAAGCTAAGCTTGTCCGCCATGGATCGCGAATGGGGGAGCAAGCCCGGAAGCGGCGGCGCCGCGTCCGCGCAGAGCGAGGCGATTGACCGCCGCGAGCGGCTGCGACGGCTGGCTCTCGAAACCATCGACCTCGCGAAGGATCCCTACTTCATGCGGAACCACCTCGGAAGGTAAGGGTCCACTCCGTTTTAGAGTGTTGATGTGTGGTGATGTGGCCGCGCAGTGGTTGCGAAGGCTGGCTCTCGAAACCATCGACGGGATCCCTACTTCATGCGGAACCACCTCGGAAGGTAAGGGTCCACTCCGTTTTAGAGTGGTGATGTGTGGTGATGTGTGGTGATTTGTGGTGATGTGTGGTGATGTGTGGTGATGTGGCCGCGCATTGGTTGCGACGGCTGGCTCTCGAAACCATCGACCTCGCGAAGGAACCATCTTGGAAGGTTCGTATCTAGACTAACAAACTACGGAACTTCGGTACGGGCTTACGGATCAGCTAAGGTCCTTAATGGCTCGTTTTGAAACGATCGATCCGAAAAACGGAGTATTTTCCGAAACCGTTCTGGAAAAGTGATTTAGATTTAGGTTTAGGTTTTTTAACGTTCGTCTCGAGGCGCCCGCATCAATCTGTGGTGGACTCTTATTTTTGGCGGAACGGTCCCGGAAGATTCGTCGCCGAGGCGATGTGCTCCAGCTGGGCTCAACGCGAGCGTTCTCCAACTAGGGTGCATTCCTCACAACATTCCTCCTCCCTCCACAACATTCCTCCTCCCTTCACAACATTCCTCCTCCCTCCACAACATTCCTCCTCCCTTCACAACATTCCTCCTCCCTCCACAACATTCCTCCTCCCTTCACAACATTCCTCCTCCCTCCACAACATCCCTCCTCCCTTCACAACATTCCTCCTCCCTCCACAACATTCCTCCTCCCTTCACAACATTTCTCCTCCCTCCACAACATCCCTCCTCCCTCCACAACATTCCTCACGCACTCGCAGGGCAAGCGCCACCAGCAGAACCTGGCCAAGCCTTTCCCTTCCCTTCCCTTGTCCTTTGCCCTTTCCCCCCCTACCGACAGCTACGAGTGCAAGCTGTGTCTGGCTCTTCACAACAACGAGGGCAACTACCTCGCGCACACGCAGGGGAAGCTCCACCAGCAGAACCTGGCCAAGCCTTCTGTTGCCCTTGCCCTTTGTTCTTGCCCTCCCACTCACCTCAACAGCTACGAGTGCAAGCTCTGCTTGACTCTTCACAACAACGAGGGCAACTACCTCGCGCACACGCAGGGGAAGCTCCACCAGCAGAACCTGGCCAAGCCTTCTGTTGCCCTTGCCCTTTGTTCTTGCCCTCCCACTCACCTCAACAGCTACGAGTGCAAGCTCTGCTTGACTCTCCACAACAACGAGGGAAACTACCTTGCACACACGCAGGGGAAGCGCCACCAGCAGAACCTGGCGAAGCGAGCAGCCAAGGAGGCGCAGGAGGCGCCGGCGCTGCCGCAACCCGCTCGCCCCCGAGTGAACCCGCGGAAGACAGGTGAGAGGGGGGAGTCCCTGAAAGGCAGGTGAGAAACTAGGTGTGTGGATGAGTGCGTGAGTGCGTGAGTGCCTGAGAGTGCGTGAGTGCCTGAGAGTGCATGCTTACAAGGCCAAGCTGACTTTTGAGTCGACTCAAATGTGAGCTCCTGAAAGAGAGGTGAAAAACTAGGTGTGTGGATGAGTGCGTGAGTGCCTGAGTGTGCGTGCTTACAAGGCCAAGCGCGCAGCCAAGGAGGGACAAGAGGCACCGGCGCTGCCCCAACCCACTCGGCCCCGAGTGAACCCGCGGAAGACAGGTGGGAGAGGAATAGCATGGGGAGAAAGGGGTGACTTTTGAGTTGACTCAAAAGTCACCTAGGAATAGTGTGGGGAGAAAGGGGGAGTGAACTTGCGAGAGATAGGTGAAGGCAGAGGGGTGAAACCAATGCTAGCATGAAACGGCTGTGGTATGTGTCTGCTCCGCTCCTCAACCCATGCCATGCATGAGTCGAGTTTTGAGTCGACTCAAAACTAAACCAATGCTAGCATGAAACGGCTGTGGTATGTGTCTGCTCCGCTCCTCAACCCATGCCATGCATGTGTCTACTAGGTCATGCCATGGCGTGGCATAGAGACAATATGATACGACACATGCTGCCCTACCCGTACCATGCCCCATGCCCCATGCCCCATTCCATTCCATTCCATTCCCCATGCCCCATACCCCATGCCCCGCACCCCATCCCCCGTACCACATGGCCCATGTCTTGTACGATTTGCAGTGAGGGCAACCTGGTTACCATGTAACCAAGCAGTTTGACCCTGATGCAATTTACCCCACGAAATTATACGATTAACATACCTTACCACACTGCACCGTACTATGCCCCCTGGCTTGCCTTTGCTTGTCTGTTTTGCAGTGAAGATCGGTCGACCCGGTTACCGTGTTACCAAGCAGTTCGACCCAGAGACGCATCAACGCTCGCTACTCTTCCAGGTATAAGTTACTCCTTCCATCTCCCTTTTGTGTGTTAGGGGGATACGGGAAGGGGGAGGGGAGGGAAGGTGGGTTGCGGGTGGATGGGTACGTGCTTGCATGTGCGCGTGTGTATTTCAACGTTCCGTTTCCCCTGTGTGTGGGGGGGGGGGGGAGAGGGGAGGGAAGGTGGGGCCGGGTGGGTGGGTGCGTGTGTGTGTGTGTGTGTGTGTGTGTGTGTGTGTGTGTGTGTGTGTGTGTGTGTGTGTCTGTGTGTGTGTCTGTACCTCCACGCGATTCCTCTGTGTAAGCGAGTGTGTTTGTGTTTTTGTGTGTCTCTCCCGCTTCTTCCTTGTCCAGCTTCTAAGTGACTTTTTCTCTGTGCTTCAACTGCACCCTTTTACCATGTTCCTGCACTTCCCCACCTATATCGTTCCTCTTATGAGGCGCCTCAAAAGTTTTTTTTTTTTCTTGATTGGTTTCTGTCTTTTCTCACAAGCGGTCCCCTCCCGCTGACTTTTGAGTCGACTCAAAAGTTTCCTCTTATGAGGCGCCTCAAAAGGCCTGTCTTTTTCTTGATTGGTTTCTGCCTTTTCTCACAACGGTCCCCTCCCGCTCCCCCCACCCACTCCCCCCCCCCCCCCCCCCCCTTCCCCCCCCCTACATTCGCCTTCCTACACTCATGTTGTGCGCATGTGTGAAACACGTGTGCCTGTTGTATACAACGGGCGAGTGTTTGTGTATACACAGGCACAACAGTTCGTTGTATACACAGGCACAACAGTTCGTGGGTACTCGCCCGTTGTATACAACAGTTCGTGTTTCACATCCACCACACTCACTCATTCATTTCTCCCCTCCAAACCCCCGTCCCTCCCTCTCTCTCTTCTCTCCCTGACGTGCAGATTGAGTACCCAGAGATAAGAGGATGCCCTTCTTGATGGGGTTAAGCCACGCCACCATGGCGTGGCTACATGTTCACTACTCAACTCCGCCATCCGCCCTGTTTCTCCATTTTCTGTTCTCACACCCCTCTCCCTGACATGCACATCGAGTACCCAGAAGGAGGACGGGGTGAAGTGAAGCCACGCCACCACCCTCAACCCCCCGCAACCACCATCCACCGCACTCTCTCCCATTCTCCCCTCTCCACACCCCTCTCCCTGGTTCGCAGATCGAGTACCCAGAGATAGATGACAGGGTAAAGCTACGCCACTGCTACATGTTCCCCACTCATCCCGCATGATCCACCCACCTCACTCTCTACTTTTCTCGCACCCTTTTCGCTGGTTCGCAGATTGAGTATCCAGAGATAGAGGACGGGGTGAAGCCACGCCACCGCTTTATGTCTTCCTATGAGCAGGTGTGTATGTGTGCTGTTTTGAGGCGCCTCCTATGAGCAGGTGTGTGTGTATGTGTGCTTTTTTGAGGCGCCTCCTATGAGCAGGTGTTTGTGTATGTGTGCTGTTGTAATTTGCATGTGCACCAGCTCTCTCCTCTCTCCCCATCGCTCCCTTCCCCCACTCCCTTTTTTTAATTTGTTTCCCCCCTTCCCCTCGTTCCCCATGTTCCTCGTATGCTGCATTTTCCTCCTTTCTCTACACGTATCCATGCGTCCTCTATATACACCCCATCCTCTCTCCTATCCAGTTAGTCAAGTCTTGGGACAAGAACTTTCAGTACATGCTGTTTGCACAACAGCTTTCCTCCTCCCCCCATCCTCCCCCCATCCTCCCCCCATCCTCCCGCCATCCTCCCCCCATCCTCACCCCTTCCTCTCCCCGCCCTCCCACACGTCCCCATGCAGCGAGTCGAGTCATGGGACAAGAACTTTCAGTACCTGCTGTTTGCAGCAGAGCCCTACGAGATTATAGCTTTCAAGGTACGAAATAAGTACTTCCCAAGCATCAAAGATGCTTAATCCTATATTTCAAAGTCTGATTTCATCAATATAAGGCAAGAAATCTCGCTTTGTCCGTTTCCAAGGTGCCCAGAAACGAACCCCTTGTCAGTTTCTGCGCACAGTCCCCCTTCTTTGTAACTTGACAAGTACACTTCACTTCCCCGTTTTGTGTGTCCGGGTTTTGCAACGTGGTCTCCACTCTCTTTATCCTTGGAGCTCCGTGTTTCCCTCCTCCCACGTGAAAGAGGTAGTGTTTCGAGCTTCGAGGAGGGGAACACGGAGCTCCAAGGATGAAGAGAGTTCTCCTCCTCTCAAAACATTCCTCTCCGCCTCTCAAAACATTCCTCTCCTCCTCTCAAAACATTCCTCTCCTCCTCTCAAAACATTCCTCTCCGCCTCTCAAAACATTCCTCTCCTCCTCTCAAAACATTCCTCTCCTCCTCTCAAAACATTCCTCTCCTCCTCTCAAAACATTCCTCTCCTCCTCTCAAAACATTCCTCTTCTCCTCTCAAAACATTCCTCTTCTCCTCTCAAAACATTCCTCTTCTCCTCTCAAAACATTCCTCTTCTCCTCTCAAAACACTACTTCTTTCACGTGGCTATTCTTTATCCTTGGAGCTCCATGTTCCCCTCCTCCCCCACCCCTCCCCACATCTATCCCGACCCGTCCACCCCTCCTCTTTCTTACTGATAGATTCCAATCAAGGAAACTGACAAGCCTCTCGTCCCTTACCCTCCCTCCCCCTTACCCTCCCTCCCCCTTACCCTCCCTCCCCCTTACCCTCCCTCCCCCTTACCCTCCCCCTCCTTCTCCCTCCCCCTCCCTCTCCCTCTCCCTCCCCCTCCCTCTCCCTCCCCCTCCCTCTCCCTCCCCCTCCCTCTCCCTCCCCCCTCCCCTTCCCTCTCCCTCCCCCTCCCTCTCCCTCCCCCTCCCTCTCCCTCCCCCTCCCTCTTTCTCCCCCTCACTCTCCCTCCCCCTCACTCTCCCTCCCCTCCGCTCCTCACAATCCCTTCTCTTCTCTCCTTTCTCCCACCTAGCAGATTCCCAGCACAGAAACGACTTTTGAGGCGCCTCAAAAGATTCCCAGCACAGAAACGACTTTTGAGGCGCCTCAAAAGATTCCCAGCACAGAAACGACTTTTGAGGCGCCTCAAAAGTCTTCTCTTCTCCCCTTTCTCCCACCTAGCAGATTCCCAGCACAGAAATTGAAACCCCATTCAAGTTCTTCTCACACTGCAACTCGCTTTCGAAAGACTTCAGTTCAATCCCTCCTCTCCCCGATATCCGTCCTTCTCCCCTCCCCTTCTCCCCTCCCCTTCTCCCCTCCCCTTCTCCCCTCCCCTTCTCCCCCCCCTTCTCCCCTCCCCTTCACCCCTCGTCTTCCCCAACAACAGATTCCCAGCACAGAAATCGACAAGACCCCATCCAAGTTCTTCTCGCACTGGAACCCTGACACCAAGACGTTCACAGTAAGTAACACAGCTTTCTTCTTTCTCAGACATTCACACAGAAAGCAGCGTCTCGCTCTGCGTGTATCCTACCCCCATCCAAGTTCTTCTCGCACTGGAACCCTGATACCCAGACCTTCACAGTAAGCAGCACACCATTATTATAGCTGAGTCTCCTGCTACGTGCGTCGTGCCTCCCTCCCATCCAAGTTCTTCTCGCACTGGAACCCTGATACCAAGACCTTCACAGTAAGCAATCGTGCTCCGACCTTCACAGAAATTACCTATCACTCTATGGTCAACCTACCCCCACTTGCAGTTCTTCTCGCGCCGGAACCCTCATACCAAGACCTTCACAGTACATGACACGTCGCTCTTGCTCAGACCTTCACAGTGGTTGACCTATCACTTAATGTGCATGCACCCTACCTTCCCTCCAACGTCCGGCTATATGCATCCTCTCTTTGAATCACTTTTGAGAATCACTTTTGAGAAATATCATAAGTGATTGCTCCAACGTCCGGCTATGTGCATCCTCTCTTGTAATCGCTTCTGACAATTCTCAAAAGACATTCCTCCAACGTCCAGCTATATGTTGCAGCCTCAGCTATACTTGAAGCCTCTCCCAGTCACCCCTACCAACTTTTGCTATGTCTGTGTTGGATGCTCTTCTGTCTAGTCTTCCACTCGGCCCTTCCCTTTCCCAAGATTTTCCCCCGCGACTCCCCTTCCCTCCCCCTCCTCCATGTCTGCTCGCTTCTCATATCTCCTTTTTTCTGTTCCCCTCCCCTTCTCCCACCGGTTTCCCCCCCCCTCGTGCAGCTTCATCTCTACTTCAAGCGGCGCCGAGTCGCCCCCATCAACCCCAAAACACATCTCCTCCCCACCTCCCTGCGTGTATGCTTCTCATTTTTTCCTCTTTTTTTTTTTTCCTGTTCCCCCTTCCTCCCGCCCCCTCCTTTACCCCTTCTCCCACCGGTTTTCCCCCCCGTGCAGCTTCATCTCTACTTCAAGCCCCGCCCAGTCGCCCCCACCAACCCCAATGCTCACCTCCTCCCGTCCTCTGTGTCTGTTTGCTTCTCATTCTTCCTTCTTTTCTCTGTTCCCTTCCCCCCCTCTCCCTCTCACCCCATGCAGCTTCAGCTTTACTTCAAGCCCCGCCCAGTCGCCCCCACCAACCCCAACGCACATCTCCTCCCCTCCTCCATGCCTCCCCATCCCCACCCCCCTCCCCCTCCTCTCTCCTCCCGCCCACCTCCCCCCACCGCCCCCTCCACCCGCCCAACTCCCCCTTCCTACCCTTCCTCCATGCCCCCTCCGCCTCCTCCCCCGTCCGCCATGCCCCCCCCTCCCCCTCCAAGCGGATACGCTCCCCCTCCTCCCCCAAGCGGGTATGCTCCCCCTCCCCCTCCCCCTCAGGGGGGGCAGTATGGGGGGGGAGGCGGGTACATGCCTCCCCCTCCCCCGCCACAGCAGCAGGGGGGGGAGGAGGGGGGGGAGGAGCGTATGGGGGCGCGTATGGGGGGTATCCCCCTAGCAACCAGCCACAGGGACATGGGGGGGGAGGGGGAGGGGGAGCAGGGGGAGCGCCAGTGTCCAGACCCCCACCCCCACCGCAGCAGCCGCAAGGGGGAATGTACTCTGCTGTTCCCCCGCCTCCCCCTGCTGCGCCAGGGGGGTACCAGCCCCCTCCACCGCCACCACCAACCCAGTAGGCGTGTTTGAGGGGGAGGGAGAGGGGGGGAAGAGGGGGAGTGGGCGGGAGTGAAAAGGATGAGAGCTATGGAGAGCAGGAACACGAAGGGGCATGCGTTTGTGCAGTGCATCCATTTGTGAGGAGATAGGAAGGTTTGTGTTGGGTTTTGTCCATGTTTATATTGCCATCTACAACAAAACAGAAAATGTTGCACACTTTGTACTTTTTAGTTGTCATAGGAGGTTTCATTCAACCTACAACATAACCTTTTTAGCTACACTGCCTCAAATCGAGCAGCTACATTGCCTCGAATCGAGCTTTTGGAGGTCCAACTGTCTCGGACCCATGATGGCGCGTTCGCGAGCTTAGGGCGCGTGTCTTTTGCTGTAGAGGTTCGGAAAATTGGTTGAACTTTTGCTGGTAACCTGTTTCGCAAATCTCGTTAAAAGTTTCGTCCATGCATCGCGTGTCCTTGTACAGCGTTGTACATGAAGTAGGACACTAAACCTGGGTCGAGCTTTCAAAACAAACCATGTGTGCACAAAACGTCAGTTGTGTGTCCTCTTCACCATACACGAGGAAGTTGCGAATTTGGCGACAGTCGCAGCGTCAGCGACTTCAGAAATCAGGGTCCCGGCCTCTTCAACATACACCAGGTAACCGTTCGCGAGCTGGACGCAACTCGGGTTTGCTGTAAAAGTTCAACTTTGATAGTCGAACTTCTGTGTGTCCTCTGATTCTCGTGAGTGGAGGAGCAGCGACTGGGGTCACAGATGCGGAAATAGTCGAGCCTAGGTCGACCTATGTTCAAATGTATTAGTTCAACTCAAAAACTCGAGTTCTGCATATAATTTCCAAAAGACACGCGCCCTTATGTGGGTACCCTCTTTCTCGCCATTGCGAACTCGGTTATAGTGAAATCAAGATGGAAAAAGCACGGTTAACGGTGGTAAAATTGCGTTTTGGTATGGTTTCTGTAGGTAAATCGAAGATAACAAGGTTTGCTACCAGTTCGGCGCACTTCAGTGTAGCTGGGTTGCAGAAGCGCGATCGCTCCGATTGCTCCGATTAGGTCAAAGATCTCAACAAGCATTCCCATGGTCAGGAAACTACAGTTGCATCCCAAAATGCTCGGATGTGTTGTGAGGATCAAATGCGAAAGCCCACCTACATCGTCTGCTCCATGACGAACTTGTAACCAGACATAGCTGTAACCGCCCAAAGAGAAAACATGTGGCCAGAAAGGGCATCATAGGGCATTGTCTGCCAGCTGCTCGTATTTAGGGCGTGTTAAATCGCCAACATTGATTTTTTGGCTCCAAACATCGGGCCGAGTTGGCGAAAGTAACCATATGACGAAGACTGACAATTTTGTCGCATTTTTGGCCTCTTTCGCAAAAAAATAACGAATTTGATGGCCGTACATAAAGTCGACCAATTGGCCGTCGTCGCGTCGACTTAAAAACGGCCACTCATCCGTCGCGTCGTTGCGACAGCGTCGCAACGAGTCGCAACCCGTTTGCGACTGCGTTGCGACAGACTGTATCATGTGCGCGACTCCGTCGCAAAATTTGGCCACCCCCAATTTAACAACTTTCCTAAAGCGGCCTGCAAATCGGCCACCATAGTTGTTAAGTCGCCAAAACTGTAAATGGTGGCTGTAAAAGAGTCGACCCTGATTCGGCCACCTCGTCGTTGTTCGCGAAAAATATGACGACCATTTGGTCGTCGAAAATTCGGCCACACCCCATTTTCGGAATCGTGCGGGGATTTAACACGCCCTTAGCGTCGCGCCAAAGGAGCAAGGTGTATGCCGAAGTCCATCCGCAGGCGAAATCTGTCATCTCTCGCCACCGGGTGAGTGGGAATTTGTGTGATCCGTTGGATTTTCTTTTCGTGGGTGTGTGCAACTTTCGCTGTTCAAAAATGGACGGCACTGAGCATTCAGAAGATGTCAGACAGCGGGTGTACACATGCGGGAGCATCAGGGCCGTTTCGATTCGAACCCATCGTGGATGGAGTGGGGTTTCGATTCTTTTCAGCGAACCACAATCCTGAATCCCGACCTCGGGTGTCAGATCGGAACGACGTGTGGAAAGCGATGCACAGAACAGAAATTTCAGCGTTCGTGTTCAGGTGCTGTTTCAGGAAACGAAAAATTCTGCACTGTACTTGTACAGCTGCAAAGTTCCCAACTTCCCACCCACAAATGGATGCGAAACTGTGACTACTACGGTGTTCACCTCTTGTTTGAGCGGGCTTCCCCTACCAGGAGCCCCACCAGCACAAACCAAACCTCACTACTAGGGTGACGCAAACTGAATCGAACGGTCGTAAAACTTTGGATCATCCCAAAAACTTTTCCGAACTACATCAGAAATATCCCGCTGGTTCGGGCTTCATCGCATTCGTCAAGGTCGAAATATCTTCTTGGCTCGGTTTCCACCGTGTCTGTTCGCTCGTGTTTTCGCGCATCGCGACTAGTGGGCACGCGGTGCGGTCGCAAATCTCAACAACATTCGAGAGGCGTTGAACGAACAGAAACGCGACTTCCGCATCCCGTCCTGTTTTGGGGCTCGTACACTAGCGTCGGCGACTTCCGTTTCGATTCAGCCCCATTGGTGAAAGGCAGGAAGGCAGCTCTTTCAAAGATACGACCATCTGTCATACTTATGCCATTACTACTGTAGCTCGCTAATGGTCTAGCGTTTCTTAGGACCACACAGCTTGCCGCGACGAGTCATAGCCGCAGCACCTTTTTCACGCTTCGTCCATGGCGCCCATCCCTATGGCATGTGAGCTGTTGCTCTTCTTCACGTGTTGGATGCGGAGGGCTGACGTCTCTAATAAGATGGCGCCGGTCGCGCGACTACTACATCTCCAAGTAGGAACAAGTGGCAGTCCTTCCAGCATTCCACACGACGTCATTTCTTCCAAGTTGCGAAGACCCGCGTTTCTTTATTCTCATCGCTGTCTGCAGCAATCCAGGGCTGGGCATTGCTCCTTTACCGAAGAGAAGGACAAAGCTTACGCCCCGTGACAGTGTTCCAGTCTAGTCACACCGACAGAAAGCGCCGGTCCCGGAAACATTATCCCTCGCAGCGCGGTCCTTTGATTCTGCTACGTGGTTCTCTGCCGCGCAGGTACTCAAGGCGGCTCCATCAGACGGTCACCTAACAGTGACCCAAGCCGCGTTTTTTGGGGACCCCCTTATTACTACGGTGGCAACCGCTCCTACTTTCGTCCCATCTCAACATTTCCGCGGGAATTCTTTGCTTTCGTCGCAATCTCTGCGATTTCGCGTGAACCCGAAATCCCTGCTTTCAACGCAATCTCTACGGTGGCAACCGCACCTGCTTTCGTCACAGTCTCTGCGATATCCTCGATTTCCGCCGTCTCGCGCCATTTTGAGATTCAATGGCTCCCTGCGCGACTCAAGACGCGGCGCTCAACGTCTCCAGATCCGCTGTGACCGCCACCGCATTTGGCGCAACCGCGGCCAGCGAAAGCTTCGAATACCAGAAGGCTGGTTACCACCAAAGATGCGATTTCGCAACACCAAATTTTGCCATTCCTCGTCAACGCGACGTGCCGACTCTCGCGCCGGCTCCCTCGCTAGAGAAGCAGATCCACCGCCGTAAAATGCGCTCGACTGCTGCTACTACCTCCGCCGCCGGCGCATCCACCACCGCGGGAGCAGCGGCGGAGAGCAACATGAAGATGGCGATCGGGCGCAGTCATAGCGGCGCGGCCGCTTTTGATTTGAGTGGACACGCGGCAAATCGGACGCATTCTGAGATGAGGCGCGAATACCACACGCGCCAAGGCGGCGCGCCGGCCTTGACGATAAACGGACGGAGACGGCCGTCGCTGTCCGTCAACCCGACTGCTGCGCCGGCAGCCGCCTCCGTCAGTTCGAGCCGCCCAGGCGACAGGCTGACGCGGCGCGGGTCCGCGGACGTAGCGCTGCTGTGCGGCTCGAAAGGCGGCGGTGCAACAGGCGGCGGTGATAATGGCGGGAGAATCTTATGTTCTAGTACTCGAGCGACGCGAAGCTTTTCACCTTGGGATTCCGAACTCCCGAACGTGACAACAAGCTTAAAGTGTGATAAAACTCTGGAGGATTGCGCCGCGATCTGCTTGAACATGGAAGGTACGAGCCTGCTTTTGAGCCTGACTTTTTATTGAGTCTGGCTTGCATCGAGCTCGAAGTTTCTCGGCCAAAGCATTTCTGACTTTCCCCTCGTCTAACGGCCTTTTATTTTTTTTCCGTTTCTTTCCCCTGCGTTCCTAAATCAGACATTCAAGGCATGGCAGCACACAAGGACCTGAGCAGAATTCTCATCAGCAGCATCGACATCGTTTCGGTCCCCGAGTCTCTCCTTCCCACCACCGCTTCCCCTCCTGCTGCAACCACTTCCCCGACTGCTACAGCTACAGCTTCAGCTGCAGCTGCTGCTCCTGCTGCTACATCCCCTGCTGCTACATCCCCTGCTGCTGCTGCTGAATACGTTCTGTGGGGCGTCCAATTCACCGACAGCCCAGCATGGATCTTCCGTTCTCCCAACGGGTCATTCCCGGTGCCACAGTCGCCTGCTATGGGAAATACTACAGGCACGGATAAAACCAGGAGGAGCGCAAGCCGCCGTTCCCCTCTGTCTCCTCACTCTCCTCCGCTTCAGTTTCCTCACTCTCACTCTCCTCCCCCTCGCTCTCCTCCGCTCCAATTTCCTCACTCGCACTCTCCTCCCCCTCACTCTCCTCCCCTTCACTCTCCTCATTCTCAGCCCGCGTCACCACATAAGCTCGCCTCCACATCAGCTGCATGGAAGAGGCCTACAAGCCGGTTGTCACCCACTGGTGGGAGCGCACGTCCGTTAGTTCCCCGTTCAAGCAGCATTCCTGAGTTTAACACATCTGCTGCAACCGTGGCTACTCCTGCTGCTACTGCTGCTGCTGCAGATTATTCTGCTGCTCCTTCTGCGGCTCGTCCTGCTGCTGTGGCTGCCACCTGTGCTCCTGCAGTCTCTTCCACCTCTACCCTACCACCTGCCAGTATTGCAGCAACTACAGTACCCTCCACTGCTGTTGTGGGGAGCCTCAGTGGGGCTTTAATGCGCCAACATTCAACGGCCCAGATTCACTCGTCAGCGGCTGAGATTCATCCACTACAGGTTGACATTCTACCCATCAGCAGCAGTAAGCAGCAAACGCCTGAACATCCAATGCACCGGCCAGTCCACCATAGACGCAGGTCACTGTCTGATATCCCTTCTTCGGCTGATTCTTCCGCCTTCTCCTCCCCATTCGCTTCCCTCTCCCCTTCCTCCGCTGCTTCTCATTCTCCCTCTTCTGTCTTCTCGCCTCGCTTTTCGCGGTTTGAGCCGTCTCAGAAACATTCACCTGAGAATTTGCCTGCTGAAACAGGCCCAGCCCACGGGACTAACACCAAGCCTAGTATCCCTGAGGAGGCTTCAGGCGTTCAGTCAGGAGTTTTGGCCACGGCAGCAGGCTCGGGGTCAGGTTCGGGCAGTGCATCCAGCTTTGGCGTTTGGGTGGGTGGATCAACCAGGCCTACGTTTGCTGACGCTCTCGCTGCTTCCCGTCTGAGTGTTGGGATCAAGCTTTCTCCAACAGAAAGCAACGCAAATAAAGCTGCACTGGGGACTCAACAAGAGAAACAGGAGGAACCTACAATCTTGAACGAAGGTATCAAGCGGATTGGGTTCAATTATCAGGTGGATCTGGAGCAAATGCCCAAGTACATGACAGATGACGAGCTTAGCCACTTCATATTCAATGTGTGAGTAACGATTTGAGAAATAGCTCCTTTCCACCAAGGCCGCTTTCAAGAGGATCGGGTTGCCTTATCAGGTGGATCTGGAGTAAATGCCCAAGTACATTTTCTTTGCCACTTCATACTCGATGTATTGAGTTAAAACGATGTTTGACTAATGAGAATGAAACACCAAATGACATCATGTCTAGAAGTTTGTGCTCAGATACTCCCATATGAGTCCTTGGTATCCACAACACAAAGCATCCTCCGCAGATCTGAGAGCAACACAAGAAAGTTTGACAACCTATAGCTCTACTCTGCTTCTAAGAAGGGACGCTAGTCTCTGCAAAAACGCATCTGCTGATCCTCCAATGGTACTCCTGCTTCAGCTTGTGCTGTTACAGTGATCCAAACCATAATCATACATGGTTGAAGCGTGGATAAGTGCATGCATCAGCACACACTATACCCGAAACTAGCGCCTCAGTAAAAATAACGTGTGGGAGGGGGCAGAAGAAAAGATGAGATAATGCTCTCCCTCTCTCGCCCTATCATGTTATTCCGTCCTAACTATTAGCGTACTATGTACTAGCACCCTCTCTATAGTGTCGTTTCCATAACGTCTCCATCACTGCACCCCGTCACAGTGTCATTGTCCCGCATAGAGTCCCCTCTCGCAGCCGTACTGTAGCTGATAACCTCCTCCTCAAAGGGTATGTACACCGGTGCTTGACTTGATAATCTCACTACAGAGCTGACCGCTAGCGAACCTTGTAACGATTTCAGCACCACAGCTTCGTACTGGCTGGTAACCAGTTTCGACCACCGCTCGGCGACGCTCGCTTTACGGCTCGGGGAGTGTGGGTGTGTGTCGTGGGTGGTGGTGGTAGCGGTGAAAACAACGTCGTAGCTGAAACTTTTGGAATTGTAACCCGAGGAAGTGTGACCGCTCGAGGCGTGCTTTTCCGCTGCGTTGACGATTTCTAGATGCACAGCCGCGTCCTGAAGGCGGCAAACGGAATGAAGGATCAGAAGGGGGGACAGAAAGTGTTAAAATCAGCAGGACGGAGTGACGGCATAGTGGCGAAATGGCGGTATGATGATGGAATGGTGAGGAGAGAAAATGTGAGAGCGAACTTTAGAGGGAAGGGGGAAGGCAGGAACATATATTGTTGAGAGTGATTAGGCCATACAAGTCGAGGAAGGAAGAGGGGAGGAAGATGGGATGGGTGGTGCGGGAGGAAGGGAGGGGAAGACAGGAAGGAGGAATGGTGTCCAACAGCAAGCTCCAATAGTATGTTCAGACTCAGATTACGCATCTAGCGACTCGGCTTGCTAATATGTCGGAGGCGATCCTATCTGGGGAGGCTCACCATCTTGGCATTCATGTCCGTGACCACGAATTCCGCAATCTGTGCCACCTCAGCACTTCGTGGGTCCACGATGACGTAGCCTCCAGGCAGCAAAACTCCTGTATGTTCCGGAAGCGATACTGTAGATGCTAGTGGTAGTGTAGACTGCATTCGTGTATGGTCGGGAAACGACACTGTGGATTGCGCCTTGGAGAAGCTACAGCTCAGTAACGTCGTAGTGGCTACGATAAGAGAAAAGGCCCGAGGAAGTGCCATGGTGTCTTAGCTGTTAGCAAAAGCTCAGCCGGACGGGAGTCTAAATCGGTATATCTCAACGTAGGCTGAAAGTTTAGGAATCAGCGACTTCACAGCGTATGGCAGCGGAGCATGAAGGACAACAGCCAATGACTAAAATACCCGCAATTGGGTATATTACTATGTCTAGGGACAGACTACGCTATTGTATGTGCAGTTCACTGTGATGCGGTGGAGGGAGTGTCAACTGAGCGAGAATCACTGATCGTTAATAAGTGCTGAGCCGAAATACGCGGAGTCGGGGACAGTGGCATGACGGGATGTTGTCGAATATCAGGCTACCACCACGCTACCACTAGAGTAAAGCTAGGTGAGGAATGGAATAATCCGCGCGAATGAAGGTTGGAAGTGACTCAACCTCCTAACTGGAACTGTAGTACTTAGAACATTTGGCAAGCTTCAGCCTAGCTGGAGCTAGAACATTATGCTACAGCATCAAGTTTCTACCAGTTACCGTTCTCGACCGTTGTTGAAATCCTAAAAACGTCTAGCACCTATTGTAATTATCACATTTTGAGCATCTTTTGAAAGCTGAATCCCTATTGTACCAATCCCATCCATCCATGTCTTGAGGCCTGTCCAGGCGGGCTGGAGAATATTTTCCGGCGACCCGACTTTTAGACGTGACCGAGTGCCAGGCCGACGCTGACGAGGCCCACGTCAGTAAACGCCCAACCACAGCCAGTCCAGTATGACGGGCAGCGACTTCACTTTCTCTAGGTGACGTTTGTCAGACGCGGTGGTTCTGGTGAGAAATACAGCAACGAGACTATGGCGCGCAATCTCCGGAGTTTTCGGTTGCCCCAATGCTACAGTACTATCGAAAAAAAAAACTTTTACACGTGCTGGCGGCGACGAGGCCGACTGCTTCTGTATACGGGCCGCGAGTTGAGCAGTTTGGGCCGCTGATTTGGGATTCCACCTTGCGGAATATGCGCACAAATTCGCTCCCTCGCCTGCGATGGTATCGACGACGCCTTGCGATAGATGTCACAGTCGTTTCCAATCAATCGGCCTACAACTCCAAATCCAGCCAATAAACGGTTCGCAATCCCCGTCATAACGTCGGCACATTGCCTTGTCACCTCACGATTTAGTGGCGGGACTTGTTTGCGACAATGGTCCTGATCGGTAGCCCTCTTACTCCGAGTTGGTGGGTTTCGTGGGGGTTCACTAACTCCCCCTTCGCACGTGTGTCTGATACAGTCACACCTACGTGGCTTACTCGGAGTACGACTCCGCCGAACCCTCCGGTATGCTTCCGACACGGGCAAAGTTTACTCCGAGCTGTGCCTCCCACAACTCCACGTTTTTGGAGTACTCCTGGCTTACTCGGAGTTAGGCATCGATGGGTAGACCCAACTAGGATCCCGAATTGGTTTTTTTTTTACCGGGACTACCTCGAAGCACGCGGTAAAATCTTCCCGTCCCGGTGGTTGATGGTGCCATTTTGGAGCCACGGTATTCCCAGTGCCGAAATTTTTTTGTTTGGTGGCGTGTGGGGCAGTCTGGGCTGCACGCAACAGTGAGACACACGAAATCGCACCCCCCACCCCCGCAACTTCCCAACTCGGAGTAACAGGGGCGAACCGATCACCCGCCAGAGTTGGGAAAGTTACAGCAGGAGATGGGAAAAACCCACCGACACGTGCACGCTCGTGTACCCCCCCGAGCAGGCCAACGCGACCAAGGCTTACTCGGAGTTAGGGCTACCGATCAGGGCCAATAATCCTATCAGGGTTCTCTCACCCATTGGCCTTTTGGGATCAAGTTTCTGTTGACCCTGCTCCATTGTTGAGGCATCACTTTTATCAACAGAAATACGAACACAATCATGCAAGGCTTAGGCCGAGTTTGATATTGAAATACACAGCCCTTCCCAAGAACAGTCATGGAAAATCACCTCCCTAGCACTGATGTTGGAACCATACAATCCACACCAACGCTTCTCACATTAATAACTTAGTCACCGCAAACACACAGATAATCACGCTCTTTGAGCCAGCAGAGCTTCTGCAGCCCTTCTACCTGAAGCCAACGCTCCATCAAATGTGGGGGAGCTCTTGTGATCCCCACACACATACACTCCCTCCCTCCCTCCCACTTCCACTTCCCCGGAGAAGTCAGTGGGAGGTCTTTGCCCTGGTTGAGCGAACGGAATCCTGTAGACCCGGAGCAACTTCCAAGCCTCCACTTCCTCCTTCCCGAACCAGCCTGCCAGCTCCGTACACACCCGAGCCTCGAGTTCAGCTTCGGTGCGGTCCTGGTAGGCACCAACAAGGGACACAGACACCAGTGTCTTGTCCGGGGGAGCATAAGAAGGAGACACTACACTGGGGAAGCAGAGATTGTTGACAATGCCGCTACCAGAGCCGTTCAAAAAGAGGATGGGCTCGGCAACAGGGGCCGGGGAGTCTGAGGCAAAGTAGAGACAGACTGTGCTGCGGGGCTCTTGACAGGCTGTAGCAGAAGAGTTGCTAGCTGCGTCAACGCTGCTGCTGGAGCCGCCGCTGCTGCTGTTGCTACCTCCCTCCCCAAGAAGCAACCTCTGAGCCACTGGCTGTTCCACTGCCACTATCACCCCTCCCTTGGCCAAAATTCTCTTCCCATCCTGCATCGTCAGCAGGCTCGGCACACCCGAACCAGCTTCCGAACCTTTGCTATCGGCTTCGTCGGTGGGAACAGCAGGGGAGATGGAGGAGACGGGGGAGTTGAGGCGGATGGAATCGGAGGGGAGGCGAGAGGCGAGGTGAGAGGCGAGGGCTCCGATTCCGGCCGAGGGGAGGGTGTTGGGTGCCAGGGCGAGCATGCGAAGGACAAACTCCATCAACCTGTGAGGGAGGGGGAAGTGATGGAGGGAGAGGAGGGAGGGAGGAGAGGGAGGAAGGAGAGGGAGGGAGGGGAGGGAGGGAGGAGAGGGAGGGAGGGAGAGGGAGGGAGGAGAGGGAGGGACGAGAGAGGCGAAAACGTCAGTGAGAAAAAGGTTGAAAAAAATGGGGAGACGGAAGAGACGGGGGAGTTGAGGCGGATGGAATCGGATGGGAGGAGAGAGGCAAGGTGAGAGGCGAGGTGAGAGGCGAGGGCCCCGATGCCGGTCGAGGGGAGGGTGTTGGGTGCGAGGGCGAGCATTCGAAGGACGAACTCCATCAAACTGCGGGGGGGGATTGGTTAGTGGAGAAAAGGGTACAAGAGGGTGAGATGAAGTTGGGTGGTGTGGGAGGCGAGAGACGAGGTGAGAGGTGGAAGCTCCGATCCCGGATGAGGGGAGGGTGTTGGGTGCGAGGGCGAGCATTCGAAGGACAAACTCCATCAACCTGCGGGGGGGGATTGGTTAGTGAAGAAAAGGGTACAAGAGGGTGAGATGAAGTTGGGTGGTGTGGGAGGCGAGAGACGAGGTGAGAGGTGGAAGCTCCGATCCCGGATGAGGGGAGGGTGTTGGGTGCGAGGGCGAGCATTCGAAGGACAAACTCCATCAACCTGCGGGGGGGGGTTGGTTAGTGAAGAAAAGGGTACAAGAGGGTGAGATGAAGTTGGGTGGTGTGGGAGGCGAGAGACGAGGTGAGAGGTGGAAGCTCCGATCCCGGATGAGGGGAGGGTGTTGGGTGCGAGGGCGAGCATTCGAAGGACAAACTCCATCAACCTGCGGGGGGGGATTGGTTAGTGAAGAAAAGGGTACAAGAGGGTGAGATGAAGTTGGGTGGTGTGGGAGGCGAGAGACGAGGTGAGAGGTGGAAGCTCCGATCCCGGATGAGGGGAGGGTGTTGGGTGCGAGGGCGAGCATTCGAAGGACAAACTCCATCAACCTGCGGGGGGGGATTGGTTAGTGAAGAAAAGGGTACAAGAGGGTGAGATGAAGTTGGGTGGTGTGGGAGGCGAGAGACGAGGTGAGAGGTGGAAGCTCCGATCCCGGATGAGGGGAGGGTGTTGGGTGCGAGGGCGAGCATTCGAAGGACAAACTCCATCAACCTGCGGAAGGGGATTGGTTAGTGAAGAAAAGGGTACAAGAGGGTGAGATGAAGTTGGGTGGTGTGGGAGGCGAGAGACGAGGTGAGAGGTGGAAGCTCCGATCCCGGATGAGGGGAGGGTGTTGGGTGCGAGGGCGAGCATTCGAAGGACAAACTCCATCAACCTGCGGGGGGGGATTGGTTAGTGAAGAAAAGGGTACAAGAGGGTGAGATGAAGTTGGGTGGTGTGGGAGGCGAGAGACGAGGTGAGAGGTGGAAGCTCCGATCCCGGATGAGGGGAGGGTGTTGGGTGCGAGGGCGAGCATTCGAAGGACAAACTCCATCAACCTGCGGGGGGGGATTGGTTAGTGAAGAAAAGGGTACAAGAGGGTGAGATGAAGTTGGGTGGTGTGGGAGGCGGGAGACGAGGTGAGAGGTGGAAGCTCCGATGCCGGCTGAGGGGAGGGTGTTGGGTGCGAGGGCGAGCATGCGAAGGACAAACTCCATCAACCTGTTGTTGGGGGGGAGTGAGGCAGTGTTGAGCTCTTGAGACAACTGAGAAGTCGTCCGTCTCGGTAAGGTCAAGGGAGCACTAGTGAACCTGAAGGAAGTGACTCCTGAAGTGTCATGAAAGAGAACTACTATTTCTGTAAGGACAAGGACAAGGGCGAAATATTGTACCTAAGGGCGAAGTATTGTACCTAGAGGAAGTGCTGAGCTCGTTGTCGAAAAAGATCCCTCCGAGAAAGGGACGGAAGAACCGATCGATCATCTGGCATGGGCGAATGAGTGGGAGAGACGAGCCCAAAGAGGAGAGAAGGACATGAAGAGAAAGGAAAATGAGGGCAGGTAAGAATACAGGCGGAGGCACTGGGAATAGCAGGAGCATGCGTTAGGGTGCTGTGCTCGTTGTCAAAAAAGGTTCCTCCAAGAAAAGCACGCACCTCGTTGGAGAACCCTTGCCTTTTAAGTGCCTCCTCGATGCTGCTCTCTGGCGCCGAGAGAAATCCATCCGCATGCGGTGATTCAAGTCAGGTGGAGCGGCTCGAGCCCACACAGAAGCGCAACAAAAGCGCACACCTCATTGGAGAACCCTTGCTCTTCAGTGCCTCTTCGACGCTGGTCTCCGGCGCCGAGAGAATGTCGTCCACAGGCATGGAGACAGCTTTCAGGCGCATGCCCACTCTCGGCTTTCATGTGGTGAGTGGAGAGTCAAACCAGGTCATTGTAAGTCGAAAGAAGTACACACCTCGTTGGAGAACCCTTGCTTCTTCAGTGCCTCCTCGATGCTGGTCTCCGGCGAAGAGAGAATGCCGTCCACGGGCGTGGAGACGGCTTTCAGGCGCAGCAACCCCACACGCAGTTTGTCAAAGACAGAGCCAATGGGGTTGAAGAGGGAAGAAAGGCCGTCTGAGGTGTGGCGGAAGGGGTCTGCCACCCTGGGAGGGGCGGGAGGTGGGGAGATAGGGGGAATTGATATGCAAAGGAGCAGGGAGCACTGGGTTGGCGGGTCAGGGGAGCCGATGGGGTTGAGGAGCGAGGCATGACCGTCTTAGGTGTGGCGAAAGGGGTCTGCCGCCCTGGGAGGGTTGACTTTTGAGTCGACTCATAAGTCAACTCGATGGGGTTGAGGAGCGAGGCATGACCGTCTTAAGTGTGGCAAAAGGGGTCTGCCGCCCTGGGAGAGGGAGAGGATGGGGGGAGTGGAGAGGGTGGAGGAGTGGAGAGGGTGGAGGAGTGGAGAGGGTGGAGGAGTGGAGAGGGTGGAGGAGTGGAGAGGGTGGAGGAGTGGAATAGATAGCTTTGAGGCGCAGCAGACCCATTCGCAGTTTGTCAAACACTTAGCCGATGGGGTTGAAGAGAGAAGAGAGGCCGTCTGAACTAACCCCACGAGCCTCACCTGTGGAAGGAGCCTCCGAGCCGAACCACACGAGAGAGCCCGAGTAGAAGGGCCTGAGGTCCAACTCACCTGGAACACCCCTTAAGCATGCAGAGAGCCGCACAAAAGCTCTTTCCCCCAAAACAGCCTCACCATCCCAAGCAGCCTCACCTGCGGAAGGAGCCGCTGAAACCGCACGAAAGAGCCTGTGTATAGCGGCCTGAGGTTCAGTTCACTGTTGAGAATTCTCAAAAGTGATTTCAGATCACTGGGAATTAAAGGCAATACCAGAAGTATTACCAGGAGTTCACCTGTAAAACCCCTTTGGCGTGTCGTATTCACCCACAAGCCTCACCTGTGGAAGGAGCCCCCAAACCACACGAGAGCGCCCGAGTAGAAGGGCCTGAGGTCCAACGCCTCGTAGTCCATCACCTGCTGTGCCTCGGGGTAGGCTGGAGGGGTTGGGGGGGGAGGAGTGGGATAGAGGAAGTGAGTTGAGTATGGGGAAGGTGGGTGCGTGGAAAAGGAGTGCCCGAGTAGAAAGGCCTGACCTGAGATCCAACGCCTTGTAGTCCATCACCTGCTGTGCCTCGGGGTAGGCTGGGTGGAGGGAAACGGTAGGAGGAAGAAGGAAGGGAGAGGAAGGACGGTGTAAGTGAAGGTAGAAGAGGGTAAACCGGAGCGCCTGGGTAGAAGGGCCTGAGGTTCGATGCCTCGTAGCCCATCCCCTCCTGTGCCTCGTAGGCCATCCCCTCCTGTGCCTCGGGGTAGGCTGAAGGGGAGAAGAGGAGAGGAGATGGAGGAACCGATAGAAGGAATGGGGAGTGAGAACGGTGAAGGGAGAAGTGGGGTGGGACAAGCAGCGCCTGAGTGGGAAGGCATGAAGTACGCCTCGTGGTCCGTCACCTGCTGTGCCTCAAGGTAGGCTGAGGTTTTGAGACGTCTCAAAACATCACTTTTATCACGAAGGCATGAGGTACGCCTCATGCTCCCTCACCTGCTGTGCCTCGGGGTAGGCTGAGCTATGGGGGGCGAGAAGGCAGAAGGGTAAGAAGAATGAATGACAATGCAGGAGAGTGACTTGTCCGTCTCACCTGAGGTTGCATGCTCGGCCGTCCTAGATGTATGCATGAAACAAAGCCCCCCCTACCTGAGAGTACGATCTGAAAGCCGTGGTCTGAGTGGACAGAAACCCATCCACTTCATCCGTACGCGCGCACCCTCCCACCCCGTCAGTGGCTCATACCTGAAAGTCAGCAGTCATACATGGGAGAGGCACCCTCGTCGTCCTACCTACCTGAGAGGAAGATCTGGAAGCCGCAGTCGAGCAGGAACCCGTCCACTTGGTCAGTGCGCACGCGCCCTCCCACCCCGTCTGAAGCCTCCAGCACCACATAAGGCACGCCCGCCTCCTGTACAGCAACTGCTGGTGCTGTAGCTGAAGCTGGGGGCGCTCACGTCTGGGGTCGTACCTGAGAGGAAGATCTGGAAGCCTCTGTCCAGCAAGAACCCATCCACTTCATCAGTGCGCACGCGTCCCCCCACGCCGTCTGAAGCCTCCAGCACCACACACGCCACCCCTGCCTCCTGTAGCGCTAGTGCTGCTCGCAGCCCTGCCAGCCCTGCTCCGATGATCACCACGTCCAGCTCCTCGGGGGGCTCTGTGGATGTGGAATGGAGAGGGAAAGTGTGAGAAGGAGTGAATGAATAAGGAGTGGAAGGTTGAATTGCGGTCTGAATCCTCCAGCAACACACACGCCACCCTGGCCTCCTGCAGTGCCACAGCTGCCCGCAGCGGGAGTGAGAGTGAGAGAGGAAGGTGCGAGCAAAAGTGCAACGGCTAACGAGCCACGACCTGTCCTTCTCGTCAAGGTTCCGTGACACCCTCTTCCGTGTGCCATTGTAACGAGGTGACTTTTGAGTCGACCTTCCGTGACCAATTCTGGTTCCGGCTCTGTCACATACTCTTCCGAAGCCCCCTCGCTCTCTGCCTTCAAACCCGTCTTCACCTCATATATATTGTAAGTTTTAAATTTAGCTGACCTGCCTTGACCACTTCTGGCTCCGGCTCCGGCGCATTCCCTTCCGTAGCTTCCTCACTCTCAACCTCCGAGCTCGTCTTCACCCCTCAAATGACCATGCATGTTTGTTCCGTAAAAGGACACAACCACACCAACTGACCTTCCTTGACCAATTCTGGCTCCTGCTCTGGCACATTCTCTTCCGAAGCTTCCTCACTCTCAACCTCCGAGCTCGCCTTCACCTCCGTCTCTCCCTTCTTTCCGAACAGTCCGTCCAGGGCTGGAAGCTTCAGCCATTCGAAAAAACTGGAGCCTTCTGAGCTCGCATCATTGGTCGCGTTGTCGGAGCTCCCAGCGCTGCTCGCACGGACGACACGTATGCAACGTGGCTGCCGACGTGGCTGACGTGGCAGCTGCAAGAAGGTGCCTGTGTTACACAGTGGCGAAGGACGCGCGGCGAGAGACGATTTGTGTACTGAGGTTCGTGCTGACAAGGTGGCTGTGCCGAGTGGCCTCGACACGTGGCGCTCTATCGCATTCCCTGGGCTTATTGTTGCTGCTTGAGCGGCCGAGCAGGCAGCGCGAACGGCGGCCATAATTGCTTGCAAGAGTTCGAGCACGAGACGTGAATCAATTAAGAAACAAGAAGCAGTAATGGCAGACTAATATGCTCTTCACTGAAGCAAGAACCAGCCTGCTATTCCTGTCCTGCTGCTTTGCCTGGAAGAGTCTTGCCTGATTGCCGCTGCTGGCAGTCATGCCATCATTTACTGCTGGATTCCCTTAGTTGACTTTCCAGCATCTGCGCTGCAGCCTTTCAGGTGTCAGGAATGGTTATGGGGTGGTGGAAACCGGTTGCGGAACAATTTTGAGTGGTGTATACTATCTTCTGGCCTTGATTTTGCCGTGTTTCACTACCATCCACTCATCTCTTCAACTATCGAGATCTCCTGGTGGCCCTGCACCAGACGCGTGTCGCACTCTGGCTGGTTTTGCCACGTAATCAAGATCTTCAGCTTCTCGTTTGTCTCTATGCATATGTGTTTTCTGGTGCACACACTAAATAAAGGAGCTGGTTATATCGGGTCATCATGTGGCACAGTCAGGCACGAGCTCGCATGTGGCTTCCAATTCAATGGTCTGCCACTTTGCCCTCCACTATTGGTTGGGGAGTTTCCAAAATCCTCCAAAACCACTGGACTTGATTCCCATTTGCAGAAAAGGAGCCACACAAGCTTGCACTGCGGCTCACTCACTGCAGCGGGCACAACTTCCGAGGTCCAAATCGAAAACCGTAAGATTCCCGAAGCATGTCAATAACGAAGAACTCGCCACCGCCTTCTGCCCTCTCCGCCCGAGCAAGGATTTCTCCGCCTTTTTCCCAAATCTTTCCTTCCCTTCCCCCCATGGGTCCCCTCATCATTCCCCCCCCTCGTTTCCCCGTCTCATCAAACTTGGAACTCCCCTTTTCACCCTTTCGTTAGCTTCCGCCATTACAGCTCAATAGGGCGTGTAACATTGCGATGATCAAACCCAAAATCCGACCATTTGGTTGGGGCGTGCGAATGCGAAGGGAGTAACACGATGGCGAGGGATGCGAGATTTTCCCGCCAAATGACCACGATAACGACCGATTCAGCAAACGCCCAAACCAAGCGACCGTACGTGCGACCAGTTTGATCACGAAAACATCCCCGCCGTGATAGTCCCCCGCAGAATAAAATTTAGGGAAACACCCACAGATAGCATTACGTGGTAGTCCCCGAATCTGTCTCGCGAAGGCCTATGAGGTTGCTAAAAATACCCTTTCTCGTGCCCCGTATAATCCACCCCGTTGGAATGCTGAATTTTGGATTACACCTTTAAATTCTAAATACGGGGGTAGTTAAGGGTGGGTGCCCCTAAATCGACCACGCCACAACCATGGTCATTGAAAATCTACAGATGACGCCCCAGGTGTTTGTTACCACTTCCCTCGCATATCGGCCAACATGACCAAATGGTCGGATTTCTGTTTTGGTCATCGCAATGTTACACGCCCTTACCCCGCCAAAGAACCATTCCCTCCACTACATGCCCGGACATTTGTTCACAATTATCTGCGTACGGTTCATTGTGGTTTGCGAGGGTATCAAGCGGTAGGTTTAACTGAACGCCTTTAACCGCGATGTAATCCTAAAAACCGAGGAAAACGTACGCTGACTAATGCTCTCCCCCATCTCAGCTTCCCCTCAGACATCAGGCCAACCCCCCACTTCTGCTTCTTGGACAGCCCACTATTTTCCAATAGCCTTTCCTACCTGTTTAGCTCTGCTGTAGAGCTACTAAGCTCCTGCTTCTAGGAGGCTAGGCCTATCTTGAAGCTTGCACGGGCTTCTGGATCATCTTGATCCGGTTCCTCTTTTCCTTGCGTGCTCTTAGAGCTTGCATTAAGCGTACCACTTCCTTAGCTCTTCTTTCAACAGATAAATAGCCATGTGGAGGCAAGCCGGCGCTCGGCTGTCGCTGGTTGCGCGCCAGTCGCTTCAGCGCAGCCGATCCGCCGCGCTCCCCGCATGGAATAGCCTCGTTGCGGAGACTGCGCCGGCTGGTGCGGGCCGGAGCGTTTCAGACAGGCTCGTTCACAGCGGCTGGCTCTCCCAGACCCCCTTCGCCCTCCGCGCAGCCTCCCCCGCAGGTTAGGGTTAGGATCGAAGAAAACGGCTAAGTTAGATAAGCAGATATTCTCTCTAGTTCAGATCTTTTAAGTTTTCAAGTCCGTAGTAAAAGGCTACCATGAGCTACGTCTAATTTGATACATGTGTTTCTACCTAATACGATTATCTCATCGAATCTATGAAATGCAGTGGCCACTAAGGACGTTTCCGACGAGCTGGAGCATGCTACTGGACTTGAGAGAGAGGAGCTGGCCGCTGAACTGGAGGTACGCCATGTTGTATTCGAAATAAGTTACATTATATTCGATCCACTTTAGAAACTATCTTATGTTGAGAGGGAGGAGCTGGCTCCTGAGCCGGAGGTAGGATAAGGCTGATTAATATCCGGCGAAGTAAGTTTTTTTTTTTTTTTTTTTTTTTTTTTTTTTTTTTTTTTTTAACCCTGCCAGTGCGTTACATCCAAGTTACGTGCTGTCTCCGCTCTACGTCAACCTCGTTCGATTCGTTTTTCCTCTTCTTTTCTTTTGTTCGTGGAACAAAAACATATTCTTGATCCTTGATCGGGCGTCCCGTCTCGAACGCCTTGGTTATTCTTCTTCTTCTCTCTGAGGCTGTCGTTGCGCGCGTTTTCTTAATCTTTTGCGAGCCGTTTATGGTCTCCCTCCGCTGCAGGGGAAGGAGCGTTTTGAGCTGGAACCTCCTCGCGGACCCTTCGGAACAGAGGTACTGTGAAAAGTTTCCTGCTTCACCATTTCAGTGGTACATTGATAGAAAGATAATGATCCGGCAACGTTTCTGATGGCCTGTTTATTCCTCCTGGCTACTGTATACACCAACTCTCGCCGGGCTCTGCGGCATTGCACCTGGGGGTGTGGTACACCCTTGAGCATTTGATGGAATTTTTGCGTAGCATTATCTATCATCCTTGCGCATTTCTTTTGCACGACATATCGTGATGGTTTGATTGTGCAACGGAATTTTTACATGGACCTGTTCTCACTTTTTTTTTTTTTTTTTGTTCTATCTCCCGTTTTGGATCCACCTTCCAACGTGTTCAGGATGCTCCTGCGATTGTGGAGGCTCAGTTCGACGAGCGTCTCGTCGGCTGCTCTGGCGGGGTTGGCGGTGAGTGATTCGTGAAATCACAGTCTCTTTAGGGCCCGTCTTGACCATCCCTCTTCATTCCTATCGCGGCCACGTGATCTGAGCCGTATGCCTGCCCTCCTTTACCTTCCTTCCCTCCCCCCCTTCTCTACATTTTTTTCCTGCCTTTTTACCTTAAAAAGGTAAGGTATCGTGGCTGCTTCAAGCATTTCAATGACTCGGATTGTTTTCTCACCTTTTCTCACCCTCGTCCCTCATCCTCATCCTGCTTTCTTCACACCTTGCTTCCTTCCTGGTCTGCTTCGAAGAATCTACGACCTTCTTGTCGAATGATGGACCCTTCTTTTGCTCCATTTTCCTGGGCAGTGTTCCCAGATAGTCTCGTAGTTGCTCTTTCCCGTCACTTTTTTCCATAGCCCTCAACCAGATAGCTAAAATAAAGCTCTCAGTTTAATTCTACTAATCTAAGGCCTTCAATATTCTGGTACGGAATCTTGACCACACTTTAAACCCTTCCTACCCTTTAATCCCTGTTTGTTCCCTTCATCCGGGCAGAGGAGGAGCATGATGTGGTGTGGTTCAAGCTCGCAAAGGACTCCAACCACTCCTGCAGCGTCTGCGGCCAAGTCTTCAAGGTAACAATGGAGGCATGCTGGGACTGTTTTCTTCGCATCATTCCTGCAGCGTCTTGAACTCGATTCTGCTCCTGTGTGTTTCCGCTGTAGTACTTTTGTTCTTACTAAGTTTCCAAACACTGTCAATGGGTTTCAAACACTATCAATGGGTTTTTTCACCTTCAGTTCTCTGGTTGACATTGCTGTTGTGAGAAGCACTAATGACCCTCTATTATCTCACTCGTTATGCTGCTGTTTCTGCCTGCAGCTGAAGGTCGTTGGCCCAGGAGGCATCCCAGGCCACCACCACTGAACAGCTTGCTGACTGGCTGGTTGGCTGGAAACATGGCACCACCTTGTGCAACGAGATGACAAAGAGTCTTCTCACAAGTCATCCTGTAGCAAATGCTCTGGAAGATGGAGAGAAGGAAAGAAATCAGTCTTGGAACGGAGGCAGCTTGGTCGGAGGCAGTGTTCCCTCAATACCATGATCCCTCAATACTATAATCAGGGAAAAAACTGTTAGACGTGTCACGCCTGCATGTTCCTCTTCTCATGTCGCCATGACATCATCTCCATGTTCTCATTCCGCCACCATCATTCATCCTCACCAACCCCTCCTTCCATACCCATTTCCATCACGCCCTCCCATGTCCACCCAATTCTGGTACTAGGCTATAGCACTTGCTTGTCAATATAATATGTGAAACTTGTTGCAGTTGTAATGAAATGTGCAAATTGGTTTGAATGGTCCATCGCACTTCACCCATACGCTTGACTCCTTACCAACCCTGCCAGACCAAACCACTTCAGTATGTAACATATCGTATGGGTTAAGCTCCTGCTAGAGTGTATATGGCAATATGGCCCTTCTGGTGTTGGGATAGTCTGGAAATTTTGCTAAATAGTGTTGATGGGTTTCCAAAGCTGTTAGTGTCAGGTTGGAGACCTGCGCAGGATAGCAAAAGATAGAAATTGAAGTGTACCACAGACGATTATGAGATGCGGAGGATACAAATGAGATGTATATGGAAATGGAAAGGGTGAACAGTGCAATTTCTATCTTTTGCTATCCTGCGCAGGAGTGTACCATGCATTCACTCAACCACACACACAATGCATGTGCAGGAGTGTGCTGTGCATAACCAACCCACTACAGGATACACATGGGGTCAGCTCAGCATAGAAGCATTCATCATTCTCAGCACCCAAACACACCGTAGACCAATGAAATCATGAGCACCAGCGTCCAGCGTTATCAACCCAACACCTATGAAAGGAGCTGCACGTACCACCGATGAACCAGAACAGCAGAGCAGAATATTGTGTGCCAAAGCATAAAAGGAGCTGTACTTACCACCTATGAACACATGAGCAGCAGCGTGGAGTGTGTAAAAAGGCCAACATAACAGGGAGACTGCATAGCAAGCTCTGATTGCAAAACATAATACGAGCGTTGTACTTACCACCCAGACAAGCATGAGCAGTAGTGTCGAGTCAAGCGCCCTTGATCCAAGTGGTAAGAGTAAACCGAAGTATATCACCTGATAATGGGAGACAAAGTTACACGAATAAGCCGAAGTATATCGCCTGTGTAAGAGAAGACAACATCAGCAAAGGCTGACTGTGGAGAGTGTAACATAATTGATGAACACTTGCAAATAGTGCTGCCTTTCTTGAGCACTCAATATTCTTAAGCAGTTTAAAAAACACTTACAATCTCTGCCAAGTAGTGTGGGCATGAGACATGAGCGAACCAATCCCCTTGCGGCATGAAGTACCCTTTTTTGCCCCCTTGCCTCAAACTGGCCTGGAGAGGGATAGACAAGGAGGGAGAGGCAATGGAGGAATGGGACAGCAGTGTGGACAGAACTGGCATGAGACATGAGCGAACCAATCCCCTTGACGCATGAAATAGCCGTTCTTACCCTCTTGCCTCAAACCGGCCCGTGAGGAGAGGAATGGAGAGACAGAAGAGAGAGAAGGAAGGGAGGCAGGGCAGGGAAGGGAGGCGGGAGATGGAAGGGGAAAGGGGAATGGAACAAGCGAGTTGATATGTGGACAGTAGCTTGCCCGTTCCCCTTTGAGTCGACTCAAAAGTCATTTTGATATAAGGACAGTAGCTTGCCCGTCCCCCTGCCGAATGAAATATTCCTTCTTATCCCCTTGCCTTGAACTGACCACTAGTAGAGAAGAGGGAGGGAGGAGGGAGAGTGAGGGATGAAGGAGTGTGAGGGAGGAGGGAGTGTGAGGGAGGAGTGTGAGGGAAGAGGGGACATCAGGATGGGCAAGATAAAGCATTTGGAGACGCAGCATAGCAAGATTGCACAATACATGGCTCACCAGAATCGAGTGGCATATGTGCTGGTGGATATTGCCCCATGCGCACACGCATGGGACATTAAAGCACCCAAAGGCGCCTCAAAAGCACTTGGTAGTGGTGCAGTGCGGTGCACCAAGGTGCAAAGTGGGGCGTACCAGGATTGAGTGGCATCTATGCTGGTGGATATTGCCCCATGCGAACACTGCTGCTCCAGCAACCATACATGCTATTCGCATAGCGTCAGCAGCAGCCATGCTTGCCATGCTTGTGGCGTCAGCAGCAGAGGGTGAAGACAGGCTGAGGGGCATGTCAGGGAGGCCTGTGAGGAACAAGGAGAGCGGAGCAGCAACGTAGTAGCTGGTAGGGGGGTTGTGGGGGTGTGGGGTTGGGGTTTTGGGTATGTGGGGGTGGGGGGTTGGGGTTTTGGGTATGTGGGGGTGGAGGGTTGGGGGGGGGGGGGGGGTTTGGGGGGTTGAGGGTGTGGGGGTTGGGGGTTGGGGGGGGTGGGGGGACGTGATGGTGGATGGTGAAGGCAGGTTAAAGGGCGAGGCAGGAGGACAAGCAGCAAGGAGGAGGGAGTGCAGGGCAGCAAGGAAGAGGGAGTGCAGGGCAGCAAGGAGGAGGGAGTGCAGGGCAGCAAGGAAGAGGGAGTGCAGGGCAGCAAGGAGGAGGGAGTGCAGGGCAGCAAGGAAGAGGGAGTGCAGGCCAGCAAGGAGGAGGGAGTGCAGGGCAGCAAGGAGGAGGGAGTGCAGGGCAGCAAGGAGGAGGGAGTGCAGGGCAGCAAGGAAGAGGGAGTGCAGGGCAGCAAGGAGGAGGGAGTGCAGGGCAGCAAGGAAGAGGGAGTGCAGGGCAGCAAGGAGGAGGGAGTGCAGGGCAGCAAGGAAGAGGGAGTGCAGGCCAGCAAGGAGGAGGGAGTGCAGGGCAGCAAGGAGGAGGGAGTGCAGGGCAGCAAGGAGGAGGGAGTGCAGGGCAGCAAGGAGGAGGGAGTGCAGGGCAGCAAGGAGGAGGGAGTGCAGGGCAGCAAGGAAGAGGGAGTGCAGGGCAGCAAGGAGGAGGGAGTGCAGGGCAGCAAGGAGGAGGGAGTGCAGGGCAGCAAGGAGGAGGGAGTGCAGGGCAGCAAGGAGGAGGGAGTGCAGGGCAGCAAGGAAGAGGGAGTGCAGGGCAGCAAGGAGGAGGGAGTGCAGGGCAGCAAGGAGGAGGGAGTGCAGGGCAGCAGCATGCTAGGAGACTTTTGAGACGGCTCAAAATTCACTCGCAAGGAGGAGGCAACAACGTGCTAGGAGACTTTTGAGACGGCTCAAAATTCACTCGCAAGGAGGAGGCAACAACGTGCTAGGAGACTTTTGAGACGAAAAGGGGGGCTCAAAATTTACTCGCCAGAGGTCGAAGAGGTAAGCCGAGATGTGCATGCAGGAGGAGAGTAGGGAGGAGGAGAGGGCAGTGGACTCCCATAGTCGTCTGGGGATATGCATGCTATGATGGACTAAGGGAATGCCGGGTTTCCCTTCGCTGCAGGGTGTTTTTGAGAATTTCTCAAAATCACCCTGCAGTCGTCCGGGGATATGCATGCTATGATGGACTGAGGGAATGCTGGGTTTCCCTTTGTGTGCGTGAACCAGCCTCGTACAATGTCTGCGTGAACCAGCCCCGTAAAATGTCTGTGTGAACCAGCCTCGTACAATGTCCAAAAGGTCAAGGACAGACACAGCAGCACAGTGCACTCACCAGAGGCCGAGGAGGTAGGCTGAGACGTGCATGCGGGATGAGGATGGGGAGGAGGAGAGAACAGTAGACTCCCACAGCCGTTCAGAAGAGAGGATAAACAGTGAACGCACAAAAGGCCGAGAAGGTATGATGATATGTGCACACTGCACTCACCCGAGGCCGAGGAGGTAGGCTGAGACGTGCATGCGGGATGAGGGTGGCGAGGAGGAGAGGGCAGTGGACTCCCATAATCGTCTCGTGAGATGCAGATGAAAGAGGAGCGAGTGGAGAGGCACCCGATGCAACAGAAGCTGCAGCAGATGAACGCTGCTGGTGGCTGTGGTAGCTGGTGCAACTGTGTGCGCAGGACAGCACTCACCAGAGGCCGAGGAGGTAGGCTGAGACGTGCATGCGGGATGAGGGTGGCGAGGAGGAGAGGGAAGTGGACTCCCATAGGCGTCTGGAAAGATGCAGATGGAATAGGAGCGACTGGAACGGCGCTTGATGCAGCAGAAGCTGCAGGGATTGAACGATGCTGGTGGCTGTGGTGGTTGGTGTGCTTGTTATGGTGCTTTCGCTGCTGCTGTTGCTGCTGCTGTAACTGCTGCTGCAACTCGTGCCCATACTGCTGCTGGTGATAGCGCTGAAGCTGGTGGGGACTTGAGAGTTGAGGCATGTGGAGAGGCGGGAGGGAACAGTGAGGGTGAGGGCGAGGAGCAGAAAGTTGACGGCGAACCCGACAATGTAGAAATGGGAGAACCAGCGGTGAGGCACTGTGAGTTGCTGCTGAGAGGAGGTTGGGGGTGGAGGGGGAGAAGGAGAGAAGAAAGAAGAGCAGTGAGGGCGAGAGGGCGAGGAGAAGAAGGTTGAAGGCAGACCCGACAATGTAGAAATGGGAGAACCAGCGGTGAGGCACTGTCATGTTCTGGTAGGGGGTGGGGGGAAGAGGGAGGGAAGAAGAGGGAGCAGTGAGGGTGAGGGCGAGGAGTGCAAGGTTGAAGGTGAATCCGAGGATGTAGAAATGGGAGAACCAGCGATGAGGCACTGCCATGTTCTGGCAGGCGGTGGGGGGTTGAGGAAGGAATGGTATTCGTTTTTGAGGCGCCTAAAAAATGATATCTCAAACCAACACTTTTCTGATTTGAAACTCACACGAAGAGAGACTAATAATTTCCAAGACGCGGGGGCCTTCACAGGTTTGCTGGTCGAGCCGCTTTGGGTGATTCCTCGTCTGGTTGGGATTCAAGTTCTGGAGCGGCTCAATATCAACTCAACTCACACGAAGAGAAGAGAATCGCGATGGCGTGAGGGGAAACTTCCCGGGTTTGCTGGTAGAGCCGCTTTGGGTGATCCCTCGTCCGGCTAGAATTCGCATGAGATGGCGGAGAGGGGAAAGCGCGGGGAGAGGCAGGAGCGCGAGTATGACCGGAAGAGCGATTATTGCCCAGAACCAGCGGAGGAGGGAGATTACGACGTCACGAAGCGTCAGAATGGCCACGTCAGCAGCAGCGTTTATTGGTGACATGGCTGTCTGTCGGGCTTGCTGCGTCAGCTCGTTAGGACCGTATGCTCAGACCGGGGACCATATGAAGCAGTTGTGTCATGCCTACACGTTTGCTCATATTCCACCCTACTAGACCACTCTAGTTTTTAGGGAACCGCTATTGATCGTACGACAATCTTTTGAACCGCATTAAGGTGAAGCCGCGTTACACCTGACCTGAGTGACTAGGGCAACTCGCTGCTCTCCGAGTCCCCACATTCGTGAGACTCATCTCAAGCGAACAGACCCCACTGGACCGATCTCAATTTTAAGATTAACTTTTGTAACGTGAGTTACCGCTCTGAACCACATGAGGTGTGTCATCAGATATCATTTTTCTGCAGTATAACTCCATTGCCACAATCCTCGGATTCATCGTCCTTGCTGTAACTTGTCATCCATGGCTGCAGAACTGGTCATCGTTCATTCCAGTGTTTGTGCTATCCACTCGAGATGTCAAACATCCAATTCATTGTTTTTCGCGTTGTGTAATCATGTGCTTTGAACGAGGTACTGCTTTCTCGGAATCAGCAAGATTATGTCCCATGGGAAAATCTCGGAATCGGCACTGATTCCTGGATTCAAGGATGCTTGTCGTTGGCTCGCGGCTTTTCCCATGAAAATTTCTCGAGCTATTCCGAGGTGTAAGTTTGCACTCTCTGCGTTTTCATGAGCCCACGTTATCCAGACATCACGACTTGAAAACAACGTGGCCTAACGCCTCCTTACCCCTTGCCGTTTGGGCTCTTAAATAAATAATTTATGGTTCAGTCATATTCACTTCACACGGCTTTCTTGAACCTCAGTTATCGAGCCTCGTCTTCATTCCGACGTGCCGCGTCTGACTCCTCGGAATGGCTCCATCATTCTTAAGCTGCGCGGCAGCTCTTCAGATACTCCTGATCATTCTACAGTACGTTCTCACTCCGTCCTGTCATTTGACGATGAAGCCTTTTTCACAAATTATTATTAATTTTTTTTTTCCCACAGATTTCACGCTTCGATCTGGTATCATGGTGACTCACTCCTTTCTTCTCCACCTTCCCTGTCGTTTCACAGTCTCTCTGTAAGTGTGCAAGCACGGAGCTTGCCATCTCGTGATGCTCCCCGAAGCCTTCAACCAGATGCAAGTTGCCATCAGAGAGCTTCAGTACTTGAGCCTTTTTCCCAGTTTAATCCTTCTGCCAAAAAGCTAACTGCGACCAGCGTGAGTTTCCGTGTTGCACAACCTGATGGTGCCAGGTACTGGCAGCCTGAGTTGGTGGTGGGACAGTGGATGGGAACTACCTTCTAGTTGGTTTCTTATTGTTGACGTATTCTGAGATTTTGCATACTAACTGGTTCCTCCCTGTTTGCAGACCCTTCAACGGCCTTCACAGCGTCCTTGGAAGTGCCTGACAACCTTACGGAAATTGATGTTCATAAACCAACGACTTTATGAATCACATTCTGGAACTGGTTATCAGAATGGCAACAGTGACGATGGCATTGGCCTCACGTATACTTCGCTAAGCCAGCTGTTTCCCTTGTGGACACTGGCCTCCAGAAAGCAAGTTCTTGGAGGTTCAGGAGCCACATTCTTCGAACAGGACGCCAATGCTGGGAGCATCAACAACCTGGGAGTTACCAACAGTCAGAGAAGCAGGGTGGGAGATGGCATGGGTTATGCTTCAAGCTTTCAAGGCAATTCAATGTCCCAGCAGAGTGCCACTAACCCCACTATCCCTACAGTATATGCTGGGTCTAGTGTTTCCACTACTGCTGCAACAAACGGGGTAGGTTCATCGTTCCCTTTTGCAGGGCTGGGAACAACTGGTGATGTGTTTGTTGGTGTGGATGGTCAGTTAATTCCAACAGGTGCAAGCATTGGAGATTGATACTAGGGTAGTAGAAATGAAAATGTTGTAATGATCTTCAGACAACAACAGCAGTATCATGTCATGTACCTTCTCTTATGAGGTGAGGATGTACCGGTAGTAGAATAGAGTAGGATGGGAAAGGAAAAAAGTTACGACCAACACAGCAAAACTGCTGTGCACAATGGCAACGCTCATTCATTGATCCTCAATTAATGATACGTTATTTCAATCTCCTCCCATGCCTATGCTACCATATTATGCCATCGATATTGCTTCTGCTGCTACTGTAGTCACCACCACACCACCACCACCACCACCACCATTTCACTTGTACTTCGCTTTAAGCCGGGCCAATTCCGCCTCCTCCTCTGCTCCCAATCCCATCTCCATCTGAGGCACCCTCTCATCCTCCTCCTCCACCCCTGCTGCCTCTGCCGCCCTCTGCTTTTGCCGCACCGCTGTGGGAAGCTGCGCGGTAGCTTCCGTTGCCAGCTCATCAAGAACCTTGTTCACCTCCTCTTCCATCTCATCCTCCATCTCCTCCGTGTCCAAAGCATCGTCCACAGCCTCTTCCAGCATTTCACTAATCAATCCAGCCTGTGTGGTTGGGAGAAGGGAAGAAAAGACAAGAAAGTTGAGTTGCAATCCTCTCATCCTCCATCTCCTTGGTATCCAAAGCATCGTCCACTGCCTCTTCCAGCATCTCACTAATCAGACCAGCCTGGATAGGGGGGAAGAGGGCAGAGACGACGAGGGACGGTTTACTGTGGGAGGTGGGTTGTTGGTTGTGATCCTCTCCTCCCCGCGCTCTTTTCCTCTCAAAGCGCTTTCCTCTCCCCCGCACTCACACCTTATGATCTCCATGGACAATCGTGCATTGTGCCAGCCACCTGAGGAGCTTTGATGAGAGCTTATGAGCTTTTAGAGCCACACCTCAGCTCGCTTCATCATCTCCTTTGAAAATTATTGCCTCGTGCCCACCACCAGGGGCACTCTTATGAGAAGCTTCACCTCCCTCTTTCCCTCTCCCCCTCACTTTCCCTCTCTCTCCGCCTCCCTCCTTCCCCCCTCCTCACCTTCATCATCTCTTTTGAAAGCTCTTGCATTGTGCCCGCCACCTGAGGCACTTTAATGAGCCCGCTGACGAGCTTCATGTGCTTCTAGGGCTGCTGACCTAAAGGCTCTTCCCAGTTCCCTCTCCCCTCTTCCCAGTTCCCTTCCCCCCTCACCTTCATCATCTCTTTTGAAAGCTCTTGCATCGTGCCCGCCACCTGAGGCACTTTAATGAGCCCGCTGACGAGCTTCATCACCTCTGTGCTCTTCGCCATGTGCCCTGCCACCTTCGCCATGGCTGGGAGGGGTGGGAGGGAGTACACATGCGGGAGTAGGGGGAGCGATCAAAATTTGAGCACATGGCACAGGGCCCCCAGGGCTCAGGGTTCTCTCACTCTGACCGTTAACGAGCTTCATCACCTCTGTGCTCTTCGCCATGTGCCCTGCTACCTTCGCCATGGCTGGTGGGGAGTGGGTCGGAATGGAGAGGAGTTGGGAGGGATTGGACACGGGGAGCGAGGGAGAAGGAGTTGGAAAGGGAAGGGGTCATCACTGAAGCACCGGTCACCTAAGGCACCTAAGGCACCTAAGGCACCTAAGGCACCTAAGGCACCTAAGGCACCTAAGGCAGTTTGATGAGACCGCTGACGAGTTTCATCACCTCTGTGCTCTTCGCCATGCGCCCTGCCACCTTCGCCATGGCTGGTGTGGGGAGGGGGGAAAGGGAGAGAGCAGACAATTAGGATACAAGGGATGGATGGAAATAGGGGAACAGAATAGGTGGGTGGGAGGGAAGGAAAATCCACTCCCACTCCTTGATTGTTCTTTCCACTCCTTGGAAGGAAAATCCACATGGTTCTTCTTGGTCGGCTTTTCCACTCCTCTCCTCACGGCCCCCATTGAGGTGTACTTTGAGGCGCCTCAAAATAGTCCTCTCCTCACGGCCCCCATTATTCCCCCAAATTCATTCTCTCTCCAACTCTCACACATGTCTACCCCTTCCCCCTCGCTCACCAATGTTCTCCCCCAGGTGCAGCGAAATGAGAGTTCATCTGACCCTTTTGCTCGTGTTCATTGAGGTGCTCCCCTTCTTCCCCAAACATTCCATCTCTCCCCAACCCTCACACACGTCTATAAACACACACCCACCTCTCTTCCCCCCCCTCACCGATGTTCTCCCCGAGGTGCAGCGAAATGGAGTTCATCTGAGCCTTCTGCTCGTGCCGCTGACACCCCCCATATGCTCTCTCCAACCCTCACACCTGTGTACCGCTCCCAACCGCACTAACCTCCCCCTCGTCTCTCTCACCGATGTTCTCCCCGAGGTGCAGCGAAATGGAGTTCATCTGAGCCTTCTGCTCGTGCTGATGCCATTGACAAACCTCTTACCTTCTGTTCTCTTCCTTCCACCACATCTCTTCCCTTCCCACTCACCAATGTTCTCCCCCAGGTGCAGCGAAATGGAGTTCATCTGGGCTTTCTGCTCGTGCATGCGGCTAATTGCCTTGCGCGATCGCACCAGCTCCTTGGCTAGATGCTGGGCGATGGGAGGGGTAACGAGAAAGTGGGGAGAGGGGTGAGGGGACAGGGGAGACAGGACAGGGGAGAGGAGGGGAGAAATGAAAGGTGAGAGGAGGGGGAGGGGGAAGAGGAGGCGGGATGGGAGATGGAATTCATCTGAGCCTTCTGCTCGTGCTTTGTGCCCTCAGCCTTGAGGTGACTTTTGAGTCTATTCAAAAGTCACCTCGTTACCAATGGCACTGGGCCTTGTGACCGTGCTTTGCGCCCTGCAGCCTTGAATGAGCTATGACGCACAAACGCTACACACACACACAACATACCAAATCCTCTATTAGAGACAATCCACCATGCCACACCACACCTCACCTCACCACGCTACACCACGTCACACCACACAGCACCACATCACAGCACAAAACACCGCTCCACACTACACAGCACCACAACACATCGCATCACACCACACTGCATTGCACCGCACCACACCTATCGCATGCACACGTCTCCCACGCACCTTGGCTGATCCCAGATCGCCTCGCTTTGCCGCCTTCTTGATTCCCCTCTTCATATTCACCTCGCTCCACCACACCACCCAACCAGCCCATTCCATCTCTTGCCATCGCATCCCACCCCACGGCATTCCACCCCATCCCGCTGCACCCCATTCCACCCCATCCCGCTGCACCCCATTCCACCCCATCCCATCCCATCCCACCACTCCACACCACGCCCATCCCACGCACCTTGGCTGATCCCATATCGCCTCGCTTTGCTGCCTCCTTGATTCCCTTCTTCACATTCACCTCCTCCCGCTGAATTTCTGCAGAAACAAGAGGAAGAAGGGAGGAGGGAAGAATGTGGAGAGGTGGTTTGTTGCTTAGCCGCCTCCTTGATTCCCTTCTTCACATTCACCTCCTCTCGTTGAATCTCTGTGAAGCAAGGAAAGAGAGGAAGGCATGCGAGGTGACTTTTGAGTCGACTCAATAGTCCCTTCTTCACATTCACATCCTCTCATTGAATCTCTGTGAAGCAAGGAGAGAGAGGAAGGCATGCGGCAAAGTGGCAAGAATCAAGATTGAGAGAGCACGTTGGTGAGAGCACTTGGTTGGTTAGTCTGCCGCTCTAAACCGCCTCCTTGATTCCCTTCTTCAAGTTCACCTCCTCACGTTGAATCTCTGTGAAGCAGAGAAGGTGTAGAGGGAAGAAAAGGGAAGGATGCGGCAAGGTGGCATGATTCAAAAAGTACGATATGAACACTTACTGAATAAATTGCACAGACTTACCACCAAAAAACAACCAACCCACCTAGAATGCTCCGCTCGATGTTGCGCTGCTCCTGCCGTAGACTGCACTGTCACTCCCCTCCAATTCAACCCATCCCATTCCACCCCATCCCACTCCGTACCATCCCCATCCCACCGCTCGCCCCAACAACCCACCTCGAATGTTCCGCTCGATGTTGCGCTGCTCCTGCCGTAGCTTGCGCTGCCACTCCCGCAGCTGCTGCTGCGGAGTCAGCTTCGGGCCGAACATGTTCTTCAGCATCGTGCTGACGTGGCGGGTGACGTGGCTAGCGCTGGGTCGGTGAAATAGCCCCCACACTCACAACTGAATCTCGACTCGTTAAAAATAACCTGTCAGAGTGACTGTTCCTATTATCTTCTGAGGCGTTCCAAAAAGAATTTCAGTCTTTTTTAAGACCCCTTACAATCAACACTCTGCGTGACTGTTCCTAATATACGCACTCTTGCAACCCAAACAAGACAATTCGCGGCTCCAAAGCCAATCTCCACTGATTGCTGACTGAGTCTAACTGACGGAAACTGAGGCTATCTGAGACTCAGCTGACGCTAACTGAGGCTAACACACTATACACAACAGGGAAGTAGAGCAAGATCACGCGACACCATAAGGTAGGTCCCTAGATTCGCGCGCTCTGGAAACGAGACAGCAAATTCTCGGGGAGGGGAAAAAAAAAGCTTGTTCAAATTTGGATTCACGAACGAGAGATTTCAAACTTATGGATGTGCGGTCGGAATGACAACCTTGCTGAAAATACTTCAGCAGAACGGGATATTCGCTAGGCTTGTGCTGTGAGAACGGTAATTTCAGTAGAGAATTGAGATTAAGGGTACATTCCTGTGTAGACACATGTGTCTCAATGCACATTTTCCCGAGTCGCGGCTGCAAATTTACAATTTCACGCGTCACAAACAGCTGATGTATCGCGACTCTGTGCGACAGAGATTAGGTTACAGATGGCCGAATTTGACTGGCCCACAACATATTGATACGGTTCGGATGTCTTGGACCCATGATGCCCCTAAACAAATTCCAAACAGCCAAAACACGAAGAACCTACTCGAATGCAGAACGATGCAGCACGCAGCAAGTACAAATCACTACGTAGCATCATGAGCAACATCTTCCTTCATCCCATTTCCACTGCACCCTTCTTCTCTAGCCCAAGGGTGCAACCATGGCAGAGCCTCGTGCTATGCCATTTCTCCTGCGGCTCTTGGTGGCTTGGATCACATTCTACTACTCCTGTGGGAGCCCTGTGTGCCACTAAACCAGGCTACACTCAAGGATAGGCGCAAGCGGCTGGGGGAGGCGCTGGAGTCGTCTTACCTTACTCGGCGTCGCCGCGAACCCACACCTCCGCGGCCTCATCAGGGTTAGCGGCCGTGTCGCCACTCTGCCCGCGACGGAACCATCCGTCGTCGCCACCATCGGTGGCGTTCGCGGCCGTCTGGGCGGGAGCGTCGGGCGGTGCGCCGTAGCGGGCAGGCGGAGCCGGCGCCGTCTGCTGGAGACGTTCACGTGCTATACGCTCATCCTGCTCCATCCAGGCGTGGACAAGCCCTTCGAGCTTGCTCATAGCGTCCTGGTGGCAGTCCTTGATCGTCTCACAGACGAGCTTGGCGGCCGCCATAGTTGCCGTCTCCATCACGCGCGGGCGCTTGGACGGAGGGGTGCACTGCGGGGGGGGGGCTGAACACGCACGAATAGTATTGGGTGGGTGGTGTGTCAGAATATTATGCTCTAGCCTGCAGTGGGGTACTCTATAGCGAGTACAACCCAATTAGGGTTTCCTATATGTATGCCAACTGCTGCTAGTGCAAACCTCTCCTTTCTTCATTCTTACTTTCTACAGCTAGTTCTGACATGGTGTGCCTGCGTGTGTGCGGTGTTTGGTAACGTACGAACGATGTAATATTTCGTCCCGCACAACGTAAACCTGGACGCCTCACACAAAACTGTAGACAGAAAAAAAACATGTGCATCCATGTGAGCCTTCGGGGAAAGGAAAGTCAAGTATACCAGTGAACGTCGGAGTAGTCGTCGTAGGCGCCGATGTAGAGGGCACGTTGAAGCCACACGGCGCGTTAACGTTCGTCGCGCCTCCTGCAGCCACGGCATGCGGGTTAGCAACTGCCCGGTTGTTGAGGAACAACTCCATGTACGGGTACCACGGGGGCTTGCACACGGTCCCCTTGCCCGACGCCTTCTCCGCCTTCTTCAACTGCTTGTAGAACTGCACGAGGTTGCGCCACTGTTTCTGCATGGCGTGGACGCCGCGAACCCACCCCGGGTTCTCCTTCTCGAGATGGTGCACAAGGCGCGCCCAGTACTGCGAGCCCTGCTTCCCGAGCAGGGGCTCCAGTTCGTCCTTCATGAACCATGGGGCCGCGACGAAGATCGTGTTCTCGAGCGGAGACCAAACGCTGCGTTTCACAGGCACCTGAGTGCGGGTCTTTGGGCCGCGGCGTGGAGGCTCGTCGCCCTTAGACGCGGCGGTAGCAGGGGCAGCGGACTTAGCACGACTGGCACGCGTAGCGGGAGCGGAGGGCTGCGTCTCCTCTGGCGCCTCAGCCTCGTCCTCGGACTCGTCCTCCGAATCGGACATACCCTTGTCCGGCTCCTCGCCTGAGTCCGCCTCGTCATCGGTGGCGACGGCGAAGTCGTGGTAGTCGCCGTCGTCATCCTCATCATCGTCCAGCGGGGTATCGTCGACGACGCGTGAGGACGCAACCCTGTCGGCGTCACGACGGCCGCGCGTGGGGACGTCACGCGGCGCTTCGTACGAGGTGGCTCCGGGAGACGGTACACCTTCAGGCAGCGGGCCTGCAGGCTTGCGACCGGATGGAATTTGCTTGTTGATCCACGCGATGTACGGGATCTCGTTGAGATCCCGCGGGACGTCGGTTGCAACGTCAGCTCCAGACTTGCGCTTCCTAGCCATGGCTCCCTTAGGAAGGGATAGCAGAGATACGGGAGAGAACGGAGGTGTCTAGATCTGGAGAAGGAATGTGAAGGAGGATGAGGTGGGTGAGCTCGTGGAATGGTCTAGCAGGTGGGGTTTCGATTGCGGGCAGGAATAGTTTGCCTGTTGTGTAGGAAACCCTTCGATCAGATACACGGGCAGCGCGGAAGTTTTTCCCGCTCAAAACTGTCACACATTCGGGCGTCCAGGTGCATGGGGCCGAGCCGTGGGATGGCTTGACATTTCGACACGCGTGCGACTGCTGAGTTGCATAGGGGCCTCGTCCAACTCGTCGGCGATTGTACCGCAATTCACGGGGCCCAATGATAAATACAGCGGAAATCGCAACAGGGCGGTCCGCGTTTGTGACATTGTACGTTATATGTAGTTTCCGGATGTCACAATCAGTTTGAGACACATGTGTCTACACAGGAATGTACCCTAAGACAAAAAATAATGATTGCACACTAGAATAAGACAAGAGTGAACAGTGGAACTGTAGCGTATGTGGATGAGCTTGATAGAAGAGAAGATGATACTTAGAACTTGTGACTATAATGAGAAACTTGTGTAAGGTGGATTGCTTGATGAGATAAGAACTTATAAGAGAAGATGAGTGTGAGCTTATTGAGAGAATGAGAGAGGTGAAGAGCACTTACTTGAGTGAATCTTACTAGGGATAGTTGTAGAAGTAACTTGGGGGAAAAGCTTGAGCTTGTATGCTTTACTTGGGAGTGACTCCAAGCCTTGGGTTGGATGATGATCCTCCATTAAGCTTATAGCTTCCTTATACTCTTAGGGAGTATGAGGTAGACTACTCTTAACTTGGTGACTACTTTGTAGACTAAGTGAGAGAGAACTTTGTGAGCATAAACTTATATTAAGAAAGGTATAGTACAAGCCTTATAGATCCATGAGGGATACATAGGCATGCATAGAAAGAATAATCATCAAATGGTAGTCTTGGAAGAAAGTTGCATGAGAGTATCAACTTTGGAGACATTGAACTTGGTTGCTAGTAAGGAGCCTTTGTAGTTGAAGAGGAGCTTGATGAAGAAGCTTGAAAAGCATTGTTGTCATTGAAGAACTTTCTTAAGAAATTGTATAGATGCTTGTTGGAGTTGAATAGTAGTAGAGCATGTGGTGGTGGTTGAGCACTTGTTGAGTTGGAGTTGTAGGCCTTGTAGTGTTGGAAGAGGACTTGGTGACTTGTGAAGGGATGAGTGGAGGAGATATGATAGCTTTGGTGACTTGGTAGGAGAGGTGAGGTAGTAATCATAAGGTCCTTGGTGATGAGGTGGCAACTTTGGTGACTTGGGAAAGGAAGGAAGGAAGGAAGGAATAAATGAGAGGCATGTGGAAGTTGATGACTAGGAAATGGAGGCATGTGCTTGAAGGCACATGGGAGGAGGATAATTGGAGGAAGTAGATGACTTGTGTAATCTTTGATGAGTAGGAAGGGAGAGCACATGGAAAATTATGAGGGGTCATGTGCCTTATGGTGGGGCTTGGAGGTGAATAGGAAAAGTTGTTGGAGTCTTGGTTGAGTTGGATTGGAGAAGGCTATGGTGGTTGGGAGTAATTGAAGAGGTGGTTGATAGGCTTGAGTTGGAGAAGATGAGTTGGAAAAAGGAGGTTTGTAACTTGAGTGGTTGGAATAGGCTTTGGAGGAGTTGGGTGGTTTGGATGGATTCTTAGGAAAAAGTGACGAGGGTGTTTTGAGGGGAAAGGGTTGGAGTGTACAGTAGCGTGCCACGTGAAGAGCGTGCCCATTCACAACAATTTCAGCAGGACCACGCGAATGTGAAGAAGCCAGTGCGCTTTCAACAATGGCTTGCAAGATTTCCCATTACCAAAAAAGAGATGCTGTAAGGGCGTGTGTGAATCTAATTGCAGTTCGAAAATGGGATCGAACTTATAGTGGTAACCAATGTCGTCGATGTTCGCGAATGTCTTCGCCGATGCCGTGCTCACTTTGTTTCCCACGAAACTCGAACCCCGAAAAGTGAACAAGATTCGACTGATTGAGCAAACGTGGTTTTGCACGTTGTAGTGAACGTGTGTGGTTTCAGGCACGTACGAGGAGTGTGCGACACTCGCAACACATTCGTGCAATTTCGTTGACGTGTCGCGCTGTCAAGATGCCGATACTGGGTAACCTACGCACCCTAGTGACGCTTCGGTTCTCCCCTACAGGCTCGAACTTGCAGATTCGCACTTGCGCGTGTGATTGTGAGTTCACAACTTTTGACACCGGCGGTTCTAACCTTGCAAACGCTCAAAATCGAGTCAGGTTCGCTTAGTGTTCACTTGCTACAATCGAATCACAAACATAAACCTAAGGTTAAAACTAGAATCACACACGCCCTAAGCGCCAACCTTCAGAAAGGAGAACACAAAGCGGTTTAGAGCGTTTCAGAGCGGTGAACAATGTGTACCGCCTTAAACTGTACAGCACCGAGCAGTAAGTGAAAACTCCGATGGCACCCTTGCTTGAAGACCAAAACAATACTGGGGTCGGCTCGGACGCGAGAGAAACCCCGGAAATGCTCGTACCACACTGAAACCCCGGGAATAAACTTTATTCATTACAAAGAACCATTCCAAACCACGAACAACCGCAATGGAACTTGGAATTCTAGCCCCCACCAGCATAGGCGTCAAGTTCAGTTCACCATTCGTTCACCGAGTCCGACGGATTCTGACAGTCCGTCCGCGCGAGCCGCTGTCCGTGGACGGACGGATTCCCTCGGACTTTTGCGGCCGCAAGCCACGGTGTCCATGGAGTCGATGTCCATGGCCGTCATTTGCAAGCCCGCGACAGCATCTGTGCTGTCGCCGCCACGTCGCACACTTGGACCCACCGTTACTACGCGCGTCGCCAGCAATCATATTGCTCGTGTTTGTCGCACTAGTCGTCTTACGGGTCCTTTGAGCTGCTCTAGTTACGAAAGATTGCCGAATTCGGTAACATATGCTACGCGACGGTTACAATCGCAGAGAAGCGGCCGCGCTCGGTGTACTGTCTCGGCGACGGGTGGTACGAATCCTGCTTCTCACGTATCCGAATCACCTTCTACTGCGAATGACGCAGAGGCGATTAAAGACAGGCTCCGCGCCGCGATTGCGAAGTCGGAGCGCGGAGTGGTAACAGACTCGGCGATTACTCGCGAAATTCTGGCCTCTATCGAATCGCTGGAAAGGTTAGGAGGAGGGGGAAGAGCGGATGGGGGGAAAGAAGCTCCTGTGACAACGTCTGACGAATTATTGAGCGCCACGTGGAAGCTTCTATGGACGACTGAGAAGGAGACGCTCTTCATTTTCAAACAGGCTCCCTTTTTCGGCACCACCGCTGGAGACACATTTCAAGTGAGCAGCTTCTTTTACCAGGCCATGCGAACCGTAGTTTTGAAACGTCTCAAAACTCGCTTCTCTTACCAGGCCATGCAAGCCGTATACGTGCCACGGTGCACATCGATCGAGCAACATCATCACCGTTTCCCTTTTAGAGTCGACTCAAAAATCTACTCAAAAATCGACTCAAACTGTATACGTGCCACGGGGCACACTGAGCAACATCATCACCCTCCCCCCTTTTACCCCTTCCTTTCCTCTCCCACTTACCCACTCACTTACTCCCTCCACACCATGCAGACCATAGTCGTGGAGATGGGGACACTAAGCAGCATTATCGCCTTTCCTCTTCCTTTCCCTTTCTTACCCCTGCCTTGCAGAGCATACCCGATTCTTTCCTGTGGCGAAGGGCACACTGAGCAACACCATTCCCCCCCTCGCCCATGTTTGACTTGACGTCTCTGCTTCCATCCAAGTCGCCTCTCTCTCTCTCTCTCCCCTCCCCACACCGCCTCCCTTTCTTGAACCACCATCCTATGCCTTGCAGACCATAGACGTGGCGAAGGGCACTCTGAGCAATACCATCACCTTCCCCCCCTCTGGCATGTTCGACGTATCTGCTTCCATTCAAATCGCCTCCGCTCAACGCGTCACCTTCCAGTTAGTATCCCGCCCGCCCCTCCCACCCCCACACTCGCTCCACCTGCCAATCCCCCTTCTCTCTCACACATATACTCGACATCTCTGCCTCCATTCAAATCGCCTCTGCCCAACGCGTTACCTTCCCGTCAGTATCGCCCCTGCCTGTGCACCATCTCTGCATCCCTTCTCCCTCCCTCCCGCCACTCCCCTCCTCTCTTCGCTCCTGTCTCTGCCTCCATCCAAGTGACCTCCGCACAATGCGTCACCTTCCAGTCAGTATTGCCCCCTCTCACACACCATCTGCCAATCCCCCCTTCCATCTTTCTCACTCATGTGCCTCTCTTCGATGCTTCTGCCTCTGCTACTTAAAACCCGCGGGCTAAGAACTTCAACGTTAGGAAGGTTGGTTGGGGCGAGCAACACAATTGGCCAAGATTTTGTGTGTGAGGGCCAAACTCAACCGAAGTTAGGAAGGTTGAACCAATTTGGGCCTTCTTGGCCCTCCGGTTTTAACTAACCTTCCCTTCGGACGATTTTTGAGGCGCCTAAAAAATCCTCTCAGTTATCGCGGTTTTTATGTGTGCCTCTGTTCGATGTCTCTGCCGCTGCCATTATAACATGGACTTCGCTCAGCATGACCGTCCCCTCAGTATCCCTCACTTTCCCCCCTGCTTGTTGCATGCCCCATTAGGGCTGCTAAGCCATGCCTCTGCTTGCCATAGCTACATGCATCAAGCTTTTTATATCCCCTTCCCCACATCAGGCTCACAGGTGCTCGTATAGTCAATGCTTCATGGACCCTACCAGTCCCAACTCCCACCCATTTGAGTCGACTCAAAAGTCGCCTCTTGCTTTCCCTTCCCTGCATCAATCAGGTTCACAGGTGCTCGTCTCGTCACTGCTTCGTGGACCCTACCTGTTCCGCCCTTCGGCCAAGGATGGTGAGTAGGAACGTGCTGTTTCAATCAATTCCATGTGGCATTGTATGGTAACAAGGTAATTTGTGAGTCTACCAAATTCTGGACAGATCACTGCTTCGTGGACCCTATCTGTTCCACCCTATCTGCTTCGGCCAAGGATGGTGAGTCAAGGTAGCCCATTGCAACGATGGTGAGACTTAGATGTCCAGAAGCACACGTTGCCTGATGTCGTGGCACATCCAATCTTTGCCCCTGCTGCTGCTGCTGCTGCTGCTGCCATAAAATATGAATATCTGTTTCTATCACGCCACTCCAACAGGTTAGGCAACACCTACAGTAAATTGGCGAGGAAATCCGCATCTCATCCAATTTCTGCCCCTGTTGATTCCACTCCATGTTCGAATACGAACATCCCATTCGACCGCACCACGCCAACAGGTTTGACAACACCTACATTGACGAGGAAATCCGCATCTCACGAGACTCGAGGGGCGACGTGCTTGTTACAGAGCGCTGTGCTCAGGACTAGTGCTGTAATTTGTTATACACTTTTTACATGGTACCTTAGTACGGCAGTTTTTCTCAGGGGCGCAGGGCGAGGAGGGGGTACTGTATCTGTAGGCCTAGCATGGGGCAAATTGTATTACCGGTACCGTATTCCCCCGGACATACCACCCCCCGAAATAGAGCACCCCCCGGGTGGCTTGTGCGGGGGGGGTGCTATAGCGGGCCTCGTTTCTACTATACCCCCCCTTTTGGGGGCATCCTATATAGCACCCGGGGGGGGTGTTATGTACGGGTATAATTGCAGTTTTTGCCTAAGTAGCACAGGGTTTCCAATGATAATCCATCTACAACGTTGACATTAGCAGAAACAAGCTACATATGACGCAATACAGCGCTAACACTCCCATCACACAGTCTTTACTACATTCAACAGGGGCCTACTACCATCTAGACAGAATGCTAACTACATCGCAGATAAAGCCCACCCTCCTTGTGCCCGCAGCAGCGGGTGACTGGGTGACGGAAGGCCGCTGCCGCCTAACCACTGTGCTACTGGAGTAGGGATGTAAGAATCACAGGTCAGGCAGGCGGCACGGCAGCGCGCTAGCAAGGCAGGGGCTCACCAGTGGCAGGAAGAGCAGGCTCTCACCGGGCGAGCAGGGCCGGTGCTCGGCGGACGGCGGCAGGGTCGGCGTACGACGGCGGCGACAGCAGGGCCGTGGCAGCGGCTACAGTGAAGGGCCGGATCGAGTCAGCGGCAGGGCAGGGCCGGGTCGTGGCAGCGGCAGGGCAGGGCCGGGTCTGTTAGAATCTGACAGCAGGAATGAGTTGCATTGATGAAGTGTTGGGTACATAAGCTAACCCTAACATTGGGTTGTACCCCATATGGGCTACCCCACTAGCAGCCTACACAAACACAATATGCATAGTTTGACACACCCCCATAGGCAAAGTGGGGGAGAACAAGGGGTCACAAGACCAGTCAAGAGAAACAAAACAAGCTCAGGGTGGATCACAACGTCACCACACACACTGAGCACAAGCAAAGGGCCACAAGGCCTGTCCACATGCAGAGGTATATATGCAACAAACAAAGTACAGTGATCACTACCTAGCAAGAGCAAGCATGCAGGTATATATATATATATAAAGATCACAGTACAGGCAGAGTCTACAGCAAGTGTGGAAACGTAGGCACAAGGCCCAACAAGGTACAAAAGCGCTGATGATCACCAGACGAAAGTGCCTTGGTGAATATATCAGCAGTGTTGGCCCGAGTGGCCACGTGTGCAAGACGAAGCTGACCACGCTGCTGCAACTCTCGAGCCAGGAAGTAACGCAGAGCGATGTGCTTCGTTCTGTGTTCCAGTCTGTGCTCCTCACACAAGGCAATGGCTGCCTTGTTGTCAACGTACAGAACTGGAGGAGAACGAGGCCGCTCTCCCAGGTCGGTCAGCAGGTAAGTGAGCCAGCGCAGCTCCTGAGCAGCCATGGCGGTGGCGTAGATCTCAGCCTCACAACTGGAGCTGAGAACAGAAGACGAGCGAGTAGAACGCCACGAAACAGAACCAGAGCCGAGGCTGAAAGTGTAACCCTGTGACGACCGCTGTGTAGCCTGGTCGTCAACCCAAGACGCGTCTGAGTGCCCAGTGAGGACCACCTCTCGCCGTCCTCCAAGCACGAGCCCCATGCCCGATGTACTGCACAAGTAGCGCAGTACCCTCTTCGCAGCATCCCAGTGCACCTTTCGGTGCCGACCAGGAGCCACGTAGCGGGCCAAAAGGCCAAGAGGGTACGCAAGGTCAGGACGAGTGCAAGTCATCAGGTACATGAGGCAGCCTACTAGCTCTGGGTAAGGACCACTCGGCTCTACGGACTCGTCCGAAGGTGGAGCTGAGAGCGAGTGACCTGTAGCCAGAGGAGTGGACTGTGCCGAGGACCAGGTGAAGCCGAAGCGCTGAAGGACCTGCTGCACCATGTGTGACTGAGTCAGAGTGATGGTGCACCGTGCTCTGTCCCGGGTAATCTGCAAGCCAAGGTAGCTGCGCAGCTCACCCAGATCTGTGCACGTGTGTCTCTTCTGCAGCTCGGACTTCACCAGGGCGAGAGCCTTAGTGTCAGCAGTGGCAAAGACCAAGTCGTCGACGTACACGAGGATGTAGAACGGCGGCAGCGAAGTGTCGGTGCGCAGAAACAGTGACGGGTCAGCTGTGGAGGGCGCAAACCCGAGAGCCGCAAGCGTAGTCCTCAGTGTGTCGTGCCACTCACGAGGCGCCTGACGGAGACCGTAGACTGGCCGGCGGAGGCTCCACTGGGTACCAGGAGGGAACGACCCAGTGAAGCCAGGTGGGCGGCGCAGCCAGATCTCCTCGTGCAGGCTGCCCTGCAAGAAAGCTGTGCTGAAGTCAAGCGAGTGAAGCTCGTAGTCACGCTGGGCGGCAACGTGCAGCAGTACCCGAAGAGTGGTCATCTTCGGGGTGGGGGAGAAGGTCTGGAAGAAGTCAACCCCCTCTCGCTGACTGAAGCCTCGAGCAACGTAACGTGCCTTGAAGACAGGCGGAGAACCAGGCGGCCGCTTCACCCTGAAAATCCACATGCCACTGACGATGTTTGCCCCAGGAGGGGGAACGTCGTCGACGTAGGTGCCTGTGGACTTCCAGGATGCCATCTCTGCATCCATGGCTGCCTGCCACTGAGAGGAGTAGGGACCCGCGACCGCCTCAGCGTACGAGCGCGGGGTGGGGATGTCTAGTGCATCCGGGTCTCCCTCAGGGGCAAGCAGCATGGTCACGAGATGAGGCGCAGCGGCTGCAAGATACTCAAGGTCCTCGTGCCTGTCCTCAAGGACGTCCGTGCTAAGAGCACACTCACCCCCGACGGACGGAGGACAGACAGACTCAGACTCAGCGACAAGACTAGCAGCGTAGTCTAGACGACAGGCAGCCGCAAAGTCAACAAGCTCAGCAACCAAAGCAGTCGCAGCAGCAGACTCAAACGAGGGGTCAGTGACAACAGTGGCGAGCAGACGCGTGACAGTAGGGTGCTCAGCACGAAACCGGTCAGACTCAGGGTCCGGAACGTGAGGCAAGGAAGACGCAGGAGGAGACGGCAGAGAAACAGACTGCGGAACAGAGGAAGGACGACGGACGACAAGGTGTGCGGTGGGGACAGGCGGCGAACGCGGACGCGGAACACGACGACCGGTACGACTAGGACGAACAGGCGAGACAGGACGCGACGCAGGCTCACGACGCTCAGCAAGACTACCCGTCCGCTCAGTGTAAGGAGAAGGAGCAGGCAGCGGTGAGCCAGGCTGTAACGGAAGACCAGTAGACGACGGGAGAGTAAGAACCTGACGAAGAACAGAGTCAGGCGGCGGCAGAGACGACGGAGACGGCGGAGCGAAGAACAGTCGTGGCGGCGCAGCTGCACCAGAACCGGCAGCTCCAGCAGCTCCAGGACCCTCAGCAGCTCCAGCACCTCCAGCACCTCCAGCAGCTCCAGCAGCAGAACCGACACCTCCAGGCCCAGGGTCTCCAACCCCAGTGCCTCCAGCAGCAGCACCCCCAGAACCAGTACCTCCAGTCCCAGGGTCTCCAGCCTCCACGTCTCCAGCAGCAGCACCCCCAGAACCAGCACCTCCAGTCCCAGGGTCTCCAGCCTCCACGTCTCCAGCAGCAGCACCCCCAGAACCAGCACCTCCAGTCCCAGGGTCTCCAGCCTCGGTGTCTCCAGCAGCAGCACCTCCAGACGCAGCACCCCCAGCCCCAGCAGCTCCAGTACCTCCAGTACGAGCACCTCCGGGACCAGCGACTCCAGCACCTCCAGTAGAAACAGTACCAGCACCACTCCTAGCGCCAGGGACGGCAGCAGAAGTACCTCCAGCAGTAGAGCCCCGGGCTCCAGCAGCGCGACCCTGACGGCGACCGTACCAGTCGTGCAGCTGCTGCGAGGTGAGAGGCACACGTGGACGAAGGCGGCTACTCCAAGGAGACCGCGCAACAGCAGACTCTGAACCCTCAGCGCCAGCACCCTCAGCAGCTCCAGCGCCACCAGCACCAGGACCTCCAGCAGCTCCAGAACCTCCAGCGCTAGCACCCTCAGCAGCCCCAGAACCACCAGCTCCAGCACCTCCAGACCCCTCACACTCAGGCTCAGCACCTCCAGGCTCTACACCCTCAAGCTCCGCACCCCCAGGCTCCGCACCCCCAGGCTCAGCACCCCCAGACTCAGCACCCCCAGAAGTAGCACCCCGAGCAGGACCACCCCCAGCAGGACCTGAGTCACCAGTGACCTCAACCGGCGCAGGGAAGGGAGGAGGGTCTACCTGAGACACACCTGAGGGAGCAGGACCTGGAGCGGGGAGAGGGTCGACCTGGGGAGCACCTGGAGCGAGGAAGAGCGGCGGGGGAGGGAGAGGGGCAGTGCGGTAGGGGAAGAGACGGTAGAAGGGAACCGACTCGTCAAACGTGACGTCCTGGGACGCAAAGACACGGCGCGAGGTGGGGTGGTAAAACTGCCAACCAGGCGCGTCAGGGACAAAGCCAAGGAAGACACAGGGAACTGCACGGGCGGAGAGCTTGTCCGCGGTGGTATCGCGGACAAAGGCACGAGCACCCCAGACCCGGAAACGCGACGCATCGCCAACCTTCCCCGTCCACAGCAGTGTGGGCGAGGTCTCCGGCAAGGAGACACGGGGCCAGAGGTTGAGCTGATGCGTGGCGTACCGGACCGCAAACGGCCACAGAAAATGGGGGGCAGCCGCATGGATCATGGAGGTACGAGCGACCTCCATGACTAAGCCAATGCGGCGCTCAGCAACCCCATTCTGCTGCGGAGAGTCCGGAAGCGTGAACGACTGGGTGATGCCGTGCTCCGCACAGAAGGCTGCCAAGAGGTCGGAGGAGAACTCACCACCTCTGTCAGAGTGCAGACGCAGGACGGGAAACTCCGTCCCGAACCGCTCGCGGAGCTGGAGACGGGCAGCGCGGATCCAAGGGATCAAAACAGCAGGGACTTCACCCTTGCTGCGCAGGGGAAAGACCGTGGTGTAACGCGTGTAGTCGTCAACAACCAGCAGGAAGTACCGCTCGTGGCCCTGTCCACGGACGCGGGCTGGGCCCCACACGTCCAGGTGGAGAGTCTGCAGGGGAGCCTCTGTGGGAGGGAACGAGGAGGAGTGAGGAGCGGCGCGCTGCCGCCCCTCGACGCAAGGAATGCAGGGCGGCGCAAGCGAGGGAGGCAGGGCAGGCAAAGACCTGGGCAGACCAGAAACCAGGAAGCGAGAGTGCATGCCACGAAGGCGCTGCACCGAGGGGTGACCAAGGCGGTGGTGCCACAGGAGGGTCTGGTGCGACAAAGCGCGACACTCGCAGGGGGCCGTCGGCTGACCGGACGCAGACGCAGACGCAGCTACCTGAGCGGACGCAGTGGTCAGGGTGTACAGACTCGAGCCAGGCGCACGGGAAAACGTGGCCAGGTGTCGGCCGGTCCGAGCACACGTACAGTGAGTCACCCGCTGACGCGCAGGAGTGAACTGGTGCACCCCCTGATCCTGGAGGTCAGCTCCACTCACCAAGTTCGTAGAGAACGAGGGGAGGTAAAGACCTGACAGCAAGCCAGACGGGGCGGCCGGACACGGCAGAACCGTGGAGTAGTGGGCAAGGACTGGACCCCCAGAGGGGTCCGCCAGGGAGACTGCAACCGGCCGACTAAGCGGCGTGAGTGTGGTGCAGTCGCGAAAGAAGGAGCGGGAAGCACCTGAGTCAAGCGTGAAGGTGTACAAGGCCGCAGCAGGCGCAGAACTAGAGAGAGCAGACCCACCAGCACCTGGAGCAGGAGACGTACCGGCACCTAGAGCAGCAGCCTCACCAGCACCCAGAGGAGGAGACGCACGAGCACCTAGGGCAGCAGCCTCACCAGTACCGGGAGCAGCAGGTGCTATACCAGGGTCAGGCGGGACGCACAGGTAACAGGCACGGTCAACACTAGTAGGCAATGCATACATGGCAGTGAGAATAGCATCATAGTCAGGAGCAAAGATATCTACCCTCTGTCCAAGCAGCTCCAGCCAGTCGGGGAGCTCAGCCTCGTCGCCAAACACTGTACGCCAGTCGTCGCTCAGACGGGCGAAGCAGCAGGACTGTGTGTGACCAAGCGTCCCGCAAGGCTGACCAGTCCTATCACCTGTGCGAAGGACGTACTGGCAGCGAACTGTACGCGTAGACCTGCTACACTGAGCGTACCACTCGTGGAGCTGCCGGGACGTAAGTGTCTCGCGTGGACGCCGCTGCAGCTGCAGCTGGCCACTGCCAGTCGCTCCCAACTGACCAGCTCCAGGGGGACAGCTACGACTGCTACCGCGACAACCCCAGCTAGTATACCACTCACTAAGCTGCTGGGGCGTGAGAGACTCACGTGAACGTCGCTGGGGCTGCATCTGGCCACCGGCCAGTAGCAGTAGCAGCAGCAGTAGCGCGGGCAGGGCAGGCGCGGCAGGCCGACAGGCAGGCAGGCCGGCAGGCAGACAGGCCGGCATGCAGGCAGGCAGGCAGGCAGGCAGGCAGGCAAGCAGGCAGGCAGGCAGGCCGGCAGGCAGGCAGGCAGGCCGGCAGGTAGGCAGGCAGGCAGGCAGGCAGGCAGGCAGGCGGGCAGGCAGGCAGGCCGGCAGGCAGGCAAGCAGACAGGCAGGCCGGCAGGCTGGCAGGCAGGCAGACAGGCAGGCAGGCAGGCAGGCAAGCAGACAGGCAGGCCGGCAGGCAGGCAGACAGGCAGGCAGGCCGGCAGGCAGGCAAGCAGACAGGCAGGCCGGCAGGCAGGCAGGCAGGCGCTCACCAAAGGCTGGAAGAGCAGGCGCTCGCCGGGCGAGCAGGGCCGGCGCTCAACGGGCGGCGGCGGAGTAGGCGCACGACAGCGGCGACGTCGGGGCCGCAACACCCGGTGCAGAGTAGGGCCGAAGCAGCTGCAGGCGGGGCCGCTTCAGCGGCAGGTCGGGGCCGTGGCAGCTGCAGAGCGGGGCCGTATCAGCGGCAGGTCGGGGCCGAGGCAGAGGGACGCGCGCGGCTCGGCGCGGGCTGCGCTGACAGCGCGCTGGGCTGCTGCAGGCCGCGCGCGGCCGCGCTAGGCAGTGGCGAGCCGCGCGCGGCTCGGCGCGGGCTGCGCCGAGCCGCGCGCGGGCTGCTGCGGGCGGCGCGCGGGCCTCGCGAGGCAGGAGTAGGCCCGCGCGCGGCGCTACGCGAGCTGCGTGGGCTCGGCGCGGGCTGCGCGCGGCTGCAGCGGGCTGCGCGCGGCTCGGTGCGGGCTGCGCGCGGCTGCAGCGGGCTGCGCGCGGCTCGGTGCGGGCTGCGCGCGGCTGCAGCGGGCTGCGCGCGGCTCGGTGCGGGCTGCGCGCGGCTGCAGCGGGCTGCGCGCGGCTCGGTGCGGGCTGCGCGCGGCTGCAGCGGGCTGCGCGCGGCTCTGTGCGGGCTGCGCGCGGCTGCAGGGGGCTGCGCGCGGCTCTGTGCGGGCTGCACGGGCTCGGTGGGGGCAGCTCGCGGCAGCAACGGGCTGCACGCGGCTCGGTGCGGGCTGCGCAGGCCTGGAGGGCGTGTAGGGGCGGCGCGCGGGCCTTACGGGCCTTTAGGGGCAGCGCGCTGGCCTAGGGCAGCAGGAGGCAGCGCTAGGGCTGCTGGACGGCTCGCGTAGTGCAGCACGTCACAAGGCAAGGCAAGGCAGGCAGGTACGTGGGGTAGCGCGGTAACCGCAGTGGTAGGTGGGCCCGAAAAAAAACGGTCCTACGGACCTTAGTGCTCTGATACCATGTTAGAATCTGACAGCAGGAATGAGTTGCATTGATGAAGTGTTGGGTACATAAGCTAACCCTAACATTGGGTTGTACCCCATATGGGCTACCCCACTAGCAGCCTACACAAACACAATATGCATAGTTTGACAGGGTCGTGTCAGCGGCAGGGCAGGGCCGGGTCGTGGCAGCGGCAGGGTGGGGCCGTGGCGGCGGTAGGGTGGCGCGAGCCGCTGCCGGGGGCCGTGCACTGGCGGGTAGGGCGCGGCGCGGGCCGCGCGGACGGCGCGCAGCGCACTGCGGGCCGCGGACGCGCCGCGCGGGCTTGGGGCGAGCTGCGCGGGGCAGCGGCGGGCCGCGCGCGCGTCGCGCGGGCTCGGGACGGGCTGCGCGGGGCAGCTGCGGGCCGCGCGCGCGTCGAGCGGGCTCGGGACGGGCTGCGCGGCAGGCAGCGCGACGGCGGGCAGCGCGGCAGGCAATGCGACGGGCGGGCAGCGCGGCGGGCGGGCAGCGCGGCGTGCAGCGCGACGGGCGGGCAGCGCGGCGAGCGGGCAGCGCAGCGGGCGGGCAGCGCGGCGTGCAGCGCGACGGGCGGGCAGCGCGGCGAGCGGGCAGCGCAGCGGGCTGCGCGACTGGCGGGCGACGCGGCAGGCAGCGCGACGGTGGGCAGCGCGGCGGGCAGCGCGGCGGGCAGCGCGGCGGGCAGCGCGACGGGCGGGCAGCGCGGGCGCACGAGGGCGCTAACGAGGGGCGCACGAGGGCGCTAACTGGGGCGCGTGAAGGCGCTAACGAGGGGCGCGCGAGGGCGCAGCGAGGGCGCGCGAGGGCGCTAACGAGGGCGCGCGAGGGCACTAACGAGGGCGCACGAGGGCGCAGCTAGGGCGCATCGAGTGTAGGGCGCGGGGTAGCGTGGTAACCGCATGCGTGCGACGGTGGGCCCTAAAAAAAAACAGATCGGTAGGTCCTAGGGACCTCCTGCTCTGAAACCATGTAAGAATCACAGGCAGGAAAATGATGAACTAACAGCACGCATGAGTACAAATAGTGAACCCTAATTGGGTTGTACCTCATATGGGCTACCCCACTACAGCCTAGACAATATGCTGCATATATGTTTGACAAGGGAGAGGTAGCCATCTAAGCCTAGTGAACGTCGGTGTCACAGGCCATAGGAAGGAAGAATTTATGCCTGGACATGGAGCGAGGAGGCAGGTAGTGGTAGGACACTCTGCCGAGCATTGCTCGAGTTCGTGGAATGGAGCCGCTGCACAGAAAGAAGGATCAACTCCTTCATAGTTCAATGACGTGCCCGCCCAGCGAGGCAACCGAGGCTGTTGCGGGGACTCCGCCATTGTCACCTGCATGAATCCTCGTCGTGCGACGAGGGGGTGTGATTTCGTCCAATCAGGGCCTGACAGTGGGCCTTGTTGGAGCTTGCAATGTGGCAGCTAATTCTCGCGCAAAACGTTTTCGCCCAGTCCTCGGTTTTGCGCACCCAACCAGCAATCTACCACCACGGCACAGATGTACATTTAGTACTAAACGTTTTACGCTATAAAAAATATATATACATTATGTAAAGACCCGGGTGCAATGTAGCTTTTTCCGATGACAAGACCCCCCCCCTTTGTGTAGTTATCATAGCACCCTAGGGTGGTATATCCGGGGGAATACGGTACTCCGATTTTAAATGCAATAGCTTCAGTAAGTACACAACATGGAAAGGCTTGCAAGGTAAGGCACTGCAGCTTCTGCGTACTGTAAGAACCAGAACCTTGCTATTCACAGTACCATTCAGCCATTGTCTGCTTCCTTTTCCAGACTACAGACAATAGCTGGGCTTTGACTTTCAGCCAGATTCGAATTCGCTTCAACATAGACTATAATGCGATACTTTTGCCATACAGTATATCTGCTGCTGCGCTTAAGCTTGCACTACACTCTGCTTCACTTGGCACCCGCGGCAGTCTTGCAATCCCATTCAAACAGGCCGCAGGGTCCTGCAGGCATGCACAACGCACACGAGGTGACTAAAGAGATAGGGGAAACATTACATCAAGTTTGTTTGGAGCAGACAAGTGATCAACACCAAGTTGAAAGGTTATTCAGATTCTACATCTGACAACTGTAGACATACAATGCAGGAATACAGGATATCAGGGAGGGGGGGAGGGGGTGAGGGAGGGGGGGGTGGGGGGGTGATGGATTGTGGAGCAGTAAACAGAGTGAAAGGGCAGAAAAGAATAGGGTAGGAGTCCTGGTTTCTCTTACCCCAAGGGAATTCCTTGTTGCGAATGTGGAGGTAGGGGTATGCCTGCAACGGCATAATAATTTATGAACACACCCACAAGGGAGAAACAAAAAGACCACAATGATGAAACCAGTTATTATTCCCTGGTAATTTTGAGCACGCTGTCCAACTTGCATGCACACCTCGAAACGTTGTCAGACTAAACTAAAAGTCGATGCAGAAGTCACCTATGAAGCTGGTCAAAATTTGAAACCATATTTGTTATGTAGGCAAGCCGAAACAACGAGAAGACGATAATGCACCACCTTAATGCACAGTGTACGAGTCAGACACACTCCCTCCATGGTACACGACGACAGCTTATGTGCACAATGTAGAGCTGCGCATTGGTAGTAAACAACAGAATTCGAACTCAACAAAAGCACCATATCATCTGCCTGTAAAGCCCGCTGTATTCTCGTAACAATGCAAGGTTGCCTATTGGCAAGGAATAAAAATGGGTTGGTTAAATAGACTTGTAAAACTCTAACGAAATGAATGCGAAGGGGAACCCACCGGTCGCTCGTGCTTCTCGTGGTGAGCAGCTCCCGCGAAGTTGTAGACGCCCAGAGCCAAACAGCCGACCATTGCGACAGCCGTGATGTTGCGCCACTTGATGGTCTCCTCTGTTCATTCGCACCATGAAACACCGCACCACACCGCAACGCAACGCGCAGCAGCGAAACGCAATGCACCGCAACGCAACGAAACGCAACGAAAGAAAGAATATAAACCAGGTTCTTGCGACGTAGAAGCTGATGAAGCCTTCGAGAATCCGACGACGACAAATGAAAAGAAATGCTTTTAGAAATGAACTACATGATTCAGAATAAAGCCGTCCGTCTACTTTGAAATGCCGTGCCGTGGCATTATAACGAGGCGACTCGAGTCGACGAAAAAAACAAATAAGCGAGTGAGAATAAATGCTCCGGAACAAAGATGTGCCAGTGTTGCCTGCTCCGAAAGAAAACTGTTCGAAGAACGAGACGACGGTCTAACGCCTGTGCTCACGCAGAAATCAAGATCTACAAGGAAAGCTCCTCATCAACGAGGTGACTACTGACTCCACTCAACATTCACCTCACGCAAAGATCGTGATCCACTATAAATGTTATCCGCAGCTAGACGACGACATCAACGACGACATCTGCCCGGCAGACTCGTTGCGATTGATCGACATAAAGATCCACCAGGAAAAGCTCTCGCAGGTGAAATCGCTTCTCACCAACGTCATGCGCGTGCGACGACGACGACGACATTTGCCTCGCAGACACGTTGCGCAGCATCTCCGCGCGTCGCAGGACAGAGCGAGTCAGAGCCTGAGACATGGTGGTAGGCGAGCGACGGAGGGAGTTACGGAAGGATGGACGGTGACGTGGCTGCGTGAAAGGCGGAGTGGAATGGCGCGTGGCTGCTTGTCAGAATAGACCTGCTGCTGCTGTGGCACGAAAAAAGGAGATGGGTTGGAGGAGGAAGGTAGTCCCGAGGGTTATTTGCCCTGAGCAGGGAATTTCATGACGGTAGTGTATTTTTAGTTCTTATAAATTGTTGCATTCGGTTTTGCGTCATTCACCATCTGAGTATTAGTTTTTCAGGCAGCGGCCACTCCACTAACCCCATTTTCTAGTATAATATTTGACGTGCTTGGGCTCATTTTACTACGTCAGGTGTAGTTAAGAGAAGGTCACTTTCATAAGTCTGATATTGAAAGTTGGAGAACACGAACAGCTCAAAGCGAATTTATATCTTTAACATCGAAACCATTCATAAAACCAGTAATAGGAGTCTTATTTGCTTGAAGAATAGTGTTAGTAGCGAAGAAGCTTGTGGGAGCTCTTGAATGGACAGTCCACAAAAACGAGCGGTTTGGCTAGCGAGGAGGGTGTTGTCAGAGAATCGCAGACCGCGGGCATGAAGAACGACACTCGCCGCTGCTCGCATGGGCGAGACGACGCGATTGGCGTGTAAATTCGCGAAAGTGAAAGATGTCGTCATCAGGCAAACGGCTTTCCCGCTTCTCCTCCCCTCATCCCTCTCATTCCATTCCTTGAACTTCACCAATTCGATCCATGCTCTCTTGCCTGAATTCATCTGTCAGTGGAATTCTCCATGCTCCGTGAACTCCGTTCCGTCAGCTCAGCATCCTAAACCAGCCATTGCCGACCTCGAAGGTGCTGGCCAGCAGTCCTGAAACGGAGTAGTACTTATTTATTGGTATCACGTCTTTCGAGCTCTTTTTTCTTTCTGGGTTTAGTAAGCAGGCTGAATTTGAACGTCCGACATAGGATAGTCATGGCCAAACGGTTTGACCTAGATGGCAAGGAGATCGCACCTATTAGGATGTGTATTATAGGAGCAGCCGGTTTCATTGGATCGCACCTATGCGAGGCTTTGATGTGGGAAACCAACCATGTAGTGGTGGCAGTTGACATGTACAATGACAAGATCGAGCACCTGCTGGGTGATTCTCATCCATGGAGCGGTCGGATGGAGTTTCACCAGTTTAACATCAGCAATGATCCGCGTCTTGAAGGCATTATCAAGTCATGTGACTTGGTGGGTCTTGCTACTCTATTCGCAATAACTGCTCAATGCTTCCACTCCAAACGCCTCGCAAAGTCTTAGGAAACTTCAGCACTTACTAACGGCGAGAATTCCTCGCGCAGACGATTAATCTGGCTGCCATCTGTACTCCAGCGGATTACAACACCAGGCCGCTGGATACTATCTACAGCAACTTCGTCGATGCTCTCCCCGTGGTTAGTTCGCATTCCAATCACAATGTACGTGAAATTGTTTTCTCTAGCGGGATGTAACATAATGAAATGTCTTTTACAGGCCAAGTTCTGCTCAGATTTCAAAAGAAGACTGATTCATTTCTCCACCTGTGAGGTCTATGGCAAGACGGTTGGAGCCTTTTTGCCTCCTGACAGCATTATGCGCAATGTAAGAGCCTCCCTTTCGAGGTCTGTATCGTCAAGTTCATCGTGAAAAAGCGCTAACGAGTGTCTGACGATTTCCGTCATTGCTCTAAACGTAACAGGATCCCCAGTATTATGTGCTGAAAGAAGACGAAACGCCTTGCATTTTCGGGCCTGTGCAAAAGCAACGGTGGTCATACGCTTGTGCGAAGCAGCTCATTGAAAGGGTCATCTATGGTGAGAAGTGCACACCACTTCCGTTTGTTCATTTGGTTGGCTCGTTGGTACTATATGAAATATCTTTTGTGGTGTGTCACAGCTGAGGGGGCTGAAAATGATCTCAAATTCACCATCGTCCGCCCGTTCAACTGGATTGGTCCCCGTATGGATTTTATCCCTGGAATTGATGGCCCCAAGGATGGCGTGCCTCGCGTTCTTGCTTGCTTCAGCAATGTAGGTACTGAAGGTTTAGTATATGATGCTCCACTTTAGGTGTTCAACTTTGTCATCTCTGAGCTTGCTCGCGTTGTCCCTGCAGCAACTTTTGCGCGGAGAACCCCTTAAGCTGGTTGACGGTGGCAAGTCACAACGCACCTTTGTGTACATCAAGGATGCAATCCGCGCCGTGATGCTTATGATTGTAAGTCCATTTGATGCTTTTTCTGCAAGTTTGTATGCTTAATTGCTCTTTAGCCTGACGAAGTCTAGCCTGACGAATGTATGTATGTGTATTGCAGGAGAACCCAGAGCGGGCAAATGGGCACATATTTAATGTCGGGAACCCCAAGAACGAGGCTTCTGTTCGTGAACTGGCAACGATGATGACGAGGGTATGTCAGATGGCTCCAAGTAGTCTATGAAGTAAGTGGGTCTTCGTCTCTAATGGTTGCTCATCTGATGCCGTGCAGATCTATTGCAAAGTGAGCAAGCAAGCAGAGCCTGCAACACCCACAGTCGATGTTACATCAAGTGATTTCTATGGAAAGGGCTATGATGATAGTGACCGGCGGATTCCAGACATGACGCTTATTCAGCAGCAGCTGGGTGAGTCTTCTCACATTTGAGTGTTGTGGTAATTATTGTTGTGTCGTGGCGTCTTAACACATTGGGACTGTGTTCTGCAGGTTGGGAGCCAGAGACTTCCTTGGAAGAGTTGTTGGATGTGACCTTGACATACCAGTACAGCACATATGCTGAGGCTATCCGGCGGTCGATGGCACAGACGACTGCAGCGACGTGAACTGAGGAGATATGAAGACCAGAACCGCCAGTATATTAGCATGATTATCTAAGGAGTTAGCAATAAGACATTGGCGTTTTTCTATCTTAATGTAGCCTAGTGGCAGAAGGTAACCATCTGTTGGAGTTCATGTACTAATTTTTAATCTGGGCTATACTTCAGTGAGTTCCGTAGAACGAGCCGACAGATGATGAATAGCGGATGTCCATAGCGGATCACCCGAATGCCGCATTCTGCTTCTGGGCTTTCTTGTTGGTAGACCTGTCGCGATAGTAGTGCTACATCCACATTCTGCAGGGTCGCCCGGCGTGAATCCGATCCTGCGACTGAAGTACCGCACTCTTACTATCAATGGCTGGACCAGACGAATCAAACACTGAGGAGAGCTCTCCGTTCATCAACATCCACTCGCGAGCAGCCTCCTCTCATCCGCCACTTCACGCTCCGCCTGTCCACCGATCCTCCTCACCCGATTCCCGAGACTCGTTCTTCTCCCTGCCATTCTCCTCGCTCCCCACCTCATTTTCGATCTCTCCGATCCGACGGCGGGAATGGGCTATATTTTTCCGCCAGCTACTAGACCGACGTTGGTGGGAGTCCGTTTCTCGGCATTTGCGTAACAACCCTCGCGAGTTCATCGCATCTGCATTCGCTACTAGCGACGGCTGGTTTCACAGAGCGAAGCCATATCTCGCCGCGCTTCTGATCATCCTCGTTATCGTCACGCCATTATGGCTAGTCTCTAGCGTATCAGGATCGAGTGTTTATATATCGGAAGAAAATGCGGAAGCGGATGGGAATATGCGAGGGGAGTACAACACCAAGGCAGGGCGGGATGGGCTGGATGCGGTCTTGTGCCATGCAGAGGCAGTTTACCGGGTGTGTCAAAAAGTAACTCTTGAGTCAATGATTAGTTGATTTCAATGTGGGAAGAGAGCGGATAAGATCCCGATTGAGTGGATGCTGTTTATTGCATGCGGAGGCAGCATACTGGGTAAGTCGATGGGTTGTAATTGTCATTTAGGCCGACATGGCCAACAGAAAGGCGTCCTTAGGGGGCCACCTACACCCCATGCTGAGATGTGCCTCCCCCCTCCCCTTCCCACATCCCCGCTCTCCCCTTCCCCCTCCCTCTCTTCCTTCAGGCCAACATGGCCAACAGGGGGCCGTCTGCAGCCGATGCTGAAGGATTTCCACCACATGCGCATGCGCGTGCTCATTCCCACTTACTCTATCCTCTCTCCTCATCTCCTCGCTCTCCTCTCCCCCTCCCTTCAACCTCTCTCTCTCCAGTCCAACATGGCCAACAGAAAGGCGTCGATAGGGGGCCATCTGCAACCCATGCTGAAGGATTTCCACCACATGCACATGCGCGTGTCCTTTCCTCTCTCCCCGTCTTCTCTTCCCCCCACAACCTCCTCCACTACTCCAGGCGAACATGGTTAACAGAAAGGCGTCCCTAGGGGGTCACCTACAGCCCATGCTGAAGGATTTCCACCACATGCGCATGCGCGTGCTCATTCCCACGTACCCGTGCCCCTATGAGGAGAGGGTGGGAGCGTGGGGCGTGGGAGGGAAGGTGCGTGTGGGGGCCTAGGGCGTAAGGGGAAGGAAAGGTGTATGGTGATAAGGAATGAGAAAACATCAGGGGGACTTGTATCACATGCGCATGCGCGTGCTCATTCCCACGTATTCCTGCCCCTATGAGGAGCGGGTGGGGGCGTGGGAGGGAAGGTGTGTGCGAGGGCCGAGGGTGTAAGGGGACGGAAAGGTGTATGGTGATAAGGAATGAGAAACATCAGGGGGACTTGTACTGTATGAAATGCGCATGCATGCTCATGTGTGACTATGCCGATCTGATTCTTGAATCCCTCCCTCTCATTCTCGAGTCCTTCATTCACACACACCTTCCCTCTCAGACCCCCTACCTGCTTCCCTCCCTTCTCCCAGTGGGTGTGCTTTTTCTAACTGCAGCCCTCTCCCATCCCCCCCCTCCATCTCATTTCCTTCCCCGGCTTCCCTACTCACTCCCTCCCCTCAGTGGGTGTGTTTAATTCCAACAGCCGTTCAAGCCAAGCCCATAGTCTACAGGTGAGCATGTGCAGGGCTTTTTGACATGTCTCGAAAATCGACTCAAACACTGAGATGCCTCAAAAGCCCATAGTCTACAGGTGAGCCCATAGTCTACAGGTGAGCCCGTGGTTTACATAAGTAGTTGGATATAACCCCTGAAAGCTTGGTGGTACTTCACGTATTACACTCAACCACTACTCCCTCACTCGGCTCGATTTCCTTCATTTGCCTGCAGACATTGACTCCTCCCTTTACCTCTTCCCCTCGCTATCAGTGCTGGCAGCCATAAGGCCACAATCCTCCCTCCCTGTCTCCAAGCTGACTTTTGAGTCGACTCAAAAGTCACCTCTACCCCTCGCTATCAGTGCTGGCAGCTATGAGGCCATAATCCTCCCTCCCTGTCTCCATCTCCCGCCTCTCCCCTCCCCCGCACTCCAGTGTGGGCAGTGACGAGGAGTATCCATTCGAAGAGTCAATGTTCCGCCATTACCACTCCCAGCTCTACACACTCGGCCCATTCCTCTCCCCGCAAGCCTCAAGCCTCCGTCCCTCTTCTTCTCTACCTCTCCTCCCCTCTCCCTCTCCCCAACTCCTCCCGTTTCTCCAGTGTGGGCAGTGACGAGGAGTATTCATTTGGGGAGTCAATGTTCCGCCACTACCGCTGGCAGCCATACACGCTCGACCCCTTCCTCTCCCCGCAAGCCCAGGCCAACCCCCGCCTACCCTGTCCCCCTCTCCCCCCCTTCTTCCCCCATCTCCTCTCCCCAGTGTGGGCAGTGACGAGGAGTATTCATTCGAAGAGGCCATGTTCCGCCACTACCGCTCGCAGCCCTACACGCTCGACCCGACCCCTTCCCCTTGCCCCGTGTTTGTCCCCCACTTTGACCCCTCACCTCTCTCTCCCCAGTGTGGGCAGTGACGAGGAGTATTCTTTTGAAGAGGCCATGTTCCGCCACTACCGCTCGCAGCCCTACACGTTCGATCCCTTCCTCTCTGCGCAAGCCTCAAGCCTCCTTCCCTCTTCTTTCTCCCCCTCTTCTCCCCTCTCCCTCTCCCCTACTCCTCCCCTCACCTCTCTCTCCCAGTGTGGGCAGTGATGAGGAGAGCTCTTTTGAAGAGGCCATGTTCCGCCACTACCGCTCGCAGCCCTACACGCTCGACCCATTCCTCTCCTCGCAAGCCCAGGCGCGCATGCAGCTGCTGCGCTTCCTGCACTTCCACCCAGTGGGCCTCTCAGGAAGGGCATCGTTAGGCGACTACCAGAAGTGGAACCCGAACGTGACTTTCCGCACTCTGCCTGAGCTGATGCAGGTAGGGTGGGGAGGAAGGGATGGAGGTTGGGAGGATGGAGATGGGGTATGAGTAGGCTGAGAGTGAGAGCCCAGGCGCGCATGCAGCTGCTGCGCTTCCTGCACTTCCACCCAGTGGGCCTCTCTGGAAGGGCATCGTTAGGCGACTTTCAGGGGTGGGACTATCAGGATGGTGAAAGGAAGAAGATTGGAGGGATGGAGATGGGTGAGAGGGGAGAGAGGACCTCGGCCACACATTCATTGACGTTTTGAAGCTCTGCCGTGGGGGGCGTGAGGAGGATGCCAAAGGAGGCCAACAATCATTCTTTTTGTTTATCAATGCTGTCTATCTCAACACCCTTCTGGTGACTCCTTTTCAACAGAATTCCTACCACACATACATCGACAATCTGATACTCAGCTGTGGGGGGGGGGGGGGAGTGAGGAGGTGCTTCGGTATTTGATCTGTTCTCTTGCTAACATCCTGACACCCTCTTTCTCCTTCTCCCTCCCTACAGGATCTCAACCACACATATATTGACGTTCTGAAGCTCAGCTGTGGGGGGTGTGAGGAGGAGGTAATATTCGACGAGCTCTCGTGCTAATATTGTAACGCCCCCTTCCTCCTATACCCTTGTTACAGGATCTCAACCATACATACATCGACATTCTGAAGCTCAGCTGTGGGGGGTGTGAGGAGGAGGTAATATTCGACGAGCTCTCATGCTAATATTGCAACGCCCCCTTCCTCCTATACCCTTATTGCAGGATCTCAACCATACATACATCGACATTCTGAAGCTCAGCTGTGGGGGGTGTGAGGAGGAGGTAATATTCGACGAGCTCTCATGCTAATATTGCAACGCCCCCTTCCTCCTATACCCTTATTGCAGGATCTCAACCATACATACATCGACATTCTGAAGCTCAGCTGTGGGGGGTGTGAGGAGGAGGTGATATTCGACGAGCTCTCATGCTAATATTGCAACGCCCCCTTCCTCCTATACCCTTATCACAGGATCTCAACCATACATACATCGACATTCTGAAGCTCAGCTGTGGGGGGTGTGAGGAGGAGGTGATATTCGATGTGTTTGAGGGCAATGTGAATGGGACAGCAGCAGAGGGAGTGGGAAGGGGCATGCTGGAGAAGAGGGTGAGTCAGTTCCGGTCATTGAAAGAAGCAGCTGAACCAGCAGCAGCAGCAGCAGCAGCAGAACCAGAAGCACCAGCAGATGCAGCCGCAGCAGAAGCAACAGCTGCAGGTACTGGAGCAGCTGAACCAGGAGGTGCAGTTGCCGAACCAGGAGGTTCAGTTGCCGAACCAGGAGGTGCCAGTGGTAGTGGTAGTGGTAGTGGAGGAGTGAGGAACTATGAGGAGGGGAGAGAAGATGCAGTGGACCCATCCGTTGGTGCTCGGCTGGCCATCAATGGAGGGAAGCTTCCTTTCGGTCAACTCATTGTCGACTTTCATGAGTGAGTTTCGATGCTCCATCAGCTACTCAACTCCTGTGTCCTTGATTTCCCCCCCCCCCCCCCCCCCCCCTTATTATTAACCTTTACATGGTTTACGATGTTCTGTGTACACCCTTGTTCTTTGGATGCAGGGCCGATGAGCCTCAAGAGCTTCTTTCCTTGGTTTATTCTTTGGAAACACTTGGATATCGGATGTTCCACATAGAGGACAGTCCTTTATGTGATCTATGCATCACAGGTAGCTTCATTCATGAAAGCTTGGTAAAACCCAATGAATGGGCTAAATGCAACTCTGGATGAGGTTGCCAGAGGAGCAACGATCGAAGGTAGTTCCAAGAAATATTTTCTTCATTGATTTTCCACAACTGGTCTGCCTCATAATCAGGCATAGCCTACTAGCACCAGAGGGATGCAGATGGGGGAATGTTCCTTAATGTCCCCCGAATCTCTTTCTAAGCATTCCTGCATGCGCTGTCCCTCCAACATCCCAGTAAACTTGATTATGAGAAAGCAGTGCACTTGTGCATTTTACTTACAGTAACCGTTTTGATTCCAAAGCGAAACTCGAGGCTGGCTAAAAGGAGGTGAATGCTCACCATACCCTTGCTTTCCCATTCCCACACGGTACCACATTGGATGGCACAACACCACGCATCCACTCCAGCGCGACTTTGAAAACTTCGCCCCACCGAAAACCTCCGTAACGTACGAAATCGCAAACAAAGCTTCACCATTCATACTGCACCGAGGATCAAACAGCGAACGGGAAAAAGAGGGTAGATTGGTTCATCCAACCTCTTCAACTTGGCATTTCCTCTTGCCTTTCTTGCCGCCACTCCCGCTGAAATGTCTCATGGCGCCGCAGTCGCAGGGCCAGCAGTTACTTGAGTCTATCATTCATGTCTCATGAATTTACACATGTAACTGCAAGTTTCAGCTTGTTTCTTTCAGCTCCGATAACAGCTTTCCATGGCTGCATCAGTAAATCCAGTTGCGCAAAACTCATGCTGGAATCTGAGCTGCATGGCTTCTCATCTGGATGCCGAACGACGTTGGATTCCAAGCTCCTGAAAGCTTCATTGTCCATGTATTTTCCCTCCTTAATGTTCAGACTGAACACTAGACCTGTCTGCATTCAGACCCTTCCCCAATACTTCTCTCGTGAACTAATTTCAATAGCCGTTTTAAGAGATCCGTGTCTTTTAAAATGTCCGAAAAGAACTTCTCAAAATTACATGTCAGAAGCGAGCCAGCTCTGAACACCCTTCGTACTATGACTGAGCCCGCGTCACAATCACTACGCACTATAAGCGAACAAGTCGGTAGCACCATCCGTCCGTACGTAATCCCCTTCGTCGTCATCCTCGCTATATTCATCCCCATTAACCTGGTCATTCAATCGACTCCCGGTCTACTCTCCAGCGGCTGGAGCAGCGGCGGAGGCTCGGCAGCGTCGCTTCCGTACCAGCCACCCAGCCTCGGATGGGCTGCGTTTCTGTTTCCCAGCATGAGCGGCATTGACGCGGCTATCTGCCGTGCAGAGGAGAATTACTGGGTAATTTTATTTTCCCTTTTTTTTTTTTCCTTAGCCTGGGGTCTAAAAAAGTTTCTTCTTCTTCTGTATGCACCAGCAATCATTCTTGCTGAGTCTGCTTCCCGAGTCTAATTTATCTTTCCGCGTTTCTGTTTCTCAGCATGAGTGGCAATCTGCCGTGCAAAAGCGAAGTCATTCCCAGGGAGGTCATTCCGTTCCGTTTACATTAGGATTAATATGACCAGGTGACATTCCGCCTTGTTCATGTGTATTTTGAGTCGACTCAAATACACCTGTCGTGCAGGTGTCATTCGCTAACGTTTCCATTAGGTTTTTTATGACTGGGTAAGGTTCCAACTTGGAACCGGCATTCCAGGTCTTTGCTATCCTTCCCCCCCAACCAACACCCCTCAACTTCCCACAGGACAGGAAACCTCGTGCTGGGACGGAAGGCGTGCCAGGAACACTGTACCCCACGTTCCCTCTCCCCTCCCTCCCAATCCCCCCCCCCCCCTCCAATGCCCTTCGCACAGGAGAACCTTGTGCTGAGACGGAAGGAGTGCAATGGAACGCTGCACCCCACATCCTCTCCCCCACCCCCCACCCCCCACCCTCCTTCCCCCAACCCTCCTCCCCTTAACCCCCCACCCCGCTTTCCACAGGAGAACCTTGTGCTGAGACGGAAGGCGTGCAATGGAACGCTATTCCCACCACCTGCACAGTACACACCTGTCCTGATGAAGACCGTTGTGCTCATCCCCACGTACCCGTGCCCGGCGAACGAGCGCATTGGGCAGTGGGGGGACGGCGGAAAGGTGAGTTCCGAGCTGAGTGGAAACGCTTTACCCATGATGCGTTTTGAGCTGCCTCGAAACACACCTGTACCCTCCACCAACACGGATGACAGCTGGTCGCCACAAAATGAAGACCGTTGTGCTCATCCCCACGTACCCATCCCCGGCTAACGAGCGCATTGGGCAGTGGGGTGACGGCAGAAAGGTGAGACAAAGAAGCGATTGAAATACTCACAAAGCCCTGTGAAGCCTTCTGTTTGAAATTTCGCTTGCTGCAGCAAATCCTTCCAATGCCCTCTACCCACCCAAATCTCCCTCTACCCATTCCAATCTTCCTCTATCCACCCCAATCTCTCTCCCTCCACCCACCCCAATTTCCCCCAACTCACTCCTTTCCTCTTCCTGATCCCTCCAGTGGACTTGCCTTCTGCCAGGCGCCATTCAGAAGGACCCTGTCGTGTACAGGTGAGGCCGCAGTCTTGTGCTGCAGGTGAGTGAGGATAGTTTGGAATTCCAAAATCACATGAGGAGTTCCATTCAGAACGACCCTGTCGTGCACAGGTGAGGGGGGAAAGGGGGGGGGTGTGCATGGGAAGCCCATGTTTTACTCTCCCACTCTCTGTCCCTATCCTAGCCAATTTCCCAGCATTCCAAACCTTCCCCTTGTGCGATCTTCCCCGTCACACGCCCTCCCAAACTCAAACAACAGCATTGGCAGTCATGGGCGGTATTCATTTTAAGACTCCATCTACAAGCTTCTACACGTGCAGCCCCACACCTTCGACCCGTTCCTCTCTCCCAACACTCCTTCCCGCATGTTGTGCCTAATCCGGGCTGTCCCGTTTCCAGCATTGGCAGTCGCGGGCGGTACTCATTCGAAGACTCCATTCACAAGTTCCTGCGCGTGCAGCCCCACACGTTCGACCCCTTCCTCACTCCCGAAACCGCCGCCTCCATGCAAAACCTCTCCTCCCTCCATTTCCACCCCATCGGCCTCTCCGCAAACTCCTCCCTCCAAAATTACCACAAGAAATTCCCTGAAATGCAGTTCCTAACTCTGGGCGGGATTATGGATATGTTGAATCATTCGTATGTGGATGTGTTCAAGATTGACTGCGAGGGGTGCGAGGAGGCGGTAATTACGGAGATAGGAGAGGCGAATGGGTACACGGCATCGCAGCTGAGTGTGCACGGGGGGACGTTACCGTTCGGGCAGATCTTGGTCGAGTTTCACCAGTGAGTATTGATGTGTGGTTGTGATGCGGGCATTTCACAAGTGAGCAGACTCAGCACGCAGATGTTGGTCGAGTTTCACCAGTGAGTTGACTCGAGGGAAAGGAGCAGCGATGAAAAAAACGGGTGTGGGACTGGTTGGTTGGTATGTTAAAACAAGGGAGCTTGCACAAGAAGGAAGGGCAGGGATGAACTGGGTGTGGGGCTGGTTGCTACCGTTCAGATAGAATGGCTGTGAATGGAATGGGCACACTCAACTGCATGTGCACAAGTGCAATGACACAGACTGCCACCCGTTTCTGTATTTGACTTCATTTTCTTTTTGTATCTCACCTTTCTGTGTCTCGTTCTCTCCCTCCCTCCACCAGAATGCGCCACAGTGTTCTTAACTTCGATTCCATGCTCCAGCCATTGTTCCTTGCTTTCCCTCTCTCTCCCTCTCTGACTTGCTCCCGTGCTCTCTTCCTCCCTTCACAAGAATGCACCACCCCCAGGTCATCCTACCACTCATTTACACTTTGGAGAGGCTTGGGTATCGCATGTTCAGCATCGAATTCAACCAACAGTGCTTGAAATGCTGTGAGATGAGCTTTATTCACGAGAGCCTCGTGCGGCCAGGCAGTGACAAAGACTGCCGCCCGTTTCTGTCTTCAGAAGTGTTTGTAAACAAGGATGATGCAGATGCTGTGATGCAGGAGAAGATGGGTTCAGCAGGAGGTGACCTGGAGGAACCGGGTAGAGGAGGTTAAGAACACCGCAAACACTAGCATCCCATAACTGAGAATCTGTTACGTCAAAGAGCTTAGATACCGTCATCACCCGGATATACCCCCAGGCCTATGTTACACCTATGGGCTTATAATCAGACTAGTAGGCTTATAGCCGGTTGCCAATTATAAGCCCACCCCAAATTCCCTCAATCTTCGTACAAGTGCACCCATTGAATTCCAGTGTTTCTTATAGTGAAATCGTCACTAACGCGCCTAAAGCAATAGTGTCAAATGTTGTAGCCTATAGTGAGGTTTGTCTTAGGGGGTACAAAACTTAGGGTTAGCTATATGTACCCCAACCAACATCAATGCATCATCCATTTCTCATTTTGACATGGTATCAGTTAGGTTAGGATCCTGTGGGATCCCGTTTCTCCGTTCTCCGATCGTACCACCCGAGCCTGATCCTAGCTCTCGTTTCGCCCGTCTTGCCCGAGCCTAGTGCCGGCCCGATCTAGTCCCGTTCGTTCGTTACCGCTCGTTCTTCCTCCCGATCTAGCGTAGCCCGATCTAGCGTACCGCTGCAGGTCGCGCTGCGCTTTCCCCCCCCCCGCTGCCGTCGAACCGCGCTTCCCCCCGCTGCCTGTCGACCCGCGCTTTCCCCCGCTGCCCGTCGACCCGCGCTTCCCCCCGCTGCCCGTCGACCCGCGCTTCCCCCCGCTGCCCGTCGACCCGCGCTTCCCCCCGCTGCCCGTCGACCCGCGCTTCCCCCCGCTGCCCGTCGACCCGCGCTTCCCCCCGCTGCCCGTCGACCCGCGCTTCCCCCCGCTGCCCGTCGACCCGCGCTTCCCCCCGCTGCCCGTCGACCCGCGCTTCCCCCCGCTGCCCGTCGACCCGCGCTTCCCCCCGCTGCCCGTCGACCCGCGCTTCCCCCCGCTGCCCGTCGACCCGCGCTTCCCCCCGCTGCCTGTCGACCCGCGGTTCCCCCTGCTCGCGTCCTAGCCCGTCGCCCAGGCCCGCGCCCCAGCCCGTCGCCCTGGCCCGGCGCCTTTGCCCTACCCGCCCGCGCGCTCCTGCCCTAGCCCGCGCGCTCCTACCCTAGACGCCCGCCACACCTTACCTACCCGCCCGCTCTTGCCCGCTCTTCCTGCCCGTTCCCCCTTGCCGCTGCACCCTGCTTTCCCTGCCAATTCCGTTTGCACACTATGGCGACCCCTCGCGTCCTTCGTTTCGACGCTGACGGTAGACCTCTTGATTTTTCCGTCTGGCTTCTTCGTGCTCGCCGTCTGTTAGAGAGTCAGGTCCAGGCAGGCGAGACCCTCTGGGCGCACGCTACTGGTGCCCTACCTGCGCCCTCCGACCCTACGCCTTTAGGACCTGCCCCTGATGACGCCGCTAGAGCCCGCTTTGCCACTCAGCGAGCTGACCAGACGGCTTGGAAGTCACGTGACGCTGCGGCCTGCATCGCGCTCAGCAGCCTCCTCCCTGAGTCTGAGGAGGTTCACTTCACTCAGGTTCGCACCGCTGCTGAGTACCTCACTGCGATTAAGGCCCGCTACTCTACTCCCGCTGCTGTCTCTCTTGGCCGCCTGTTCCTCCCATTCCTGTTTCCTGACCTAGCGTCTTTTGAGCGCTCTGCTGACTTGATCGCTCACCTCCGCTCGCTCGACGCTAGTTACCGCGCTGCTTGCACTGAGACACAGCTTGCACTGCTTCCTCCCCCTATGGCGATCACTATCTATTTCATCGCCACTAGCCTCCCTGACCGCCTTGCCTCCGTTCGCGACGCGCTTCTGCTGAAGCACCCTAGTGAGCTCACCGTCGAGGTCCTTGAGTCTGCACTCAAGGACGTCGAGAGCAACCTTCGCTCGGTAGCCGCTGCCTCTGGTGCTGTGCCCCCCCCCACTCTTCCACGGGTGCACAGTCCCGCAGTTACCCACCTTTACTGCCTCACTTGCCACTGCCGCTACTGACGCGACTGCAGCTGCTGTTACGACTGCGTCGCGGTCCCGCGGTAGGAGTGGCAAGAAAGGCGGTTCTGGTGGTGGTAGTGGAGGTGGCGTTGCGCCTGGCGGCGGTGGAGGTTCAGGGCCTGGAGAGGCGCCTCGTGCAGTGACTGGTGACTCCACTGCGCCTGCTGGTGGTGGCGACGCCCGAGTTCGTCAGTCGCCTCCTGTACTTCCTGCCCCGGTTGGTGGAGCAGCGGCGTGGTACCAGGCTCAGCGTCAGCAGCAGCTTCTGCAGCACCAGCAGCCCCTCTCCTCCCAGCAGCCTCAGCAGCAGCAGCGGCAGCAGCTGGCTCCAGGGTCGGGGCTGCGTCAGACCCAGCGCGGTGCTGTTTACACTCCCTGCACCTACCAGGTTCTGACAGGCACTCGTCGTGGCCACCCTTGTGGCCGGTTTCACCCCCCTGGTCAGTGCTTTGCTCAGCTCACTGACACGGTTCGTTTGGTCTACGGGGTTGGTGCTCCTGCCCCTGACTGGCTGCCTCTTGTTCAGCGTTACGGCTCCGCTCTGTGGGGCATGTCTGCTGAGCAGTTAGTTGATCTGATTGGTAATCCCCATGCTATGTATGCTGTTGTTGACTCTAGTGTTTCTGACTCTGTTTACTCTGGTGTTGTTAGCTTAGGTGCTAGCCTTGCTCAGTTGCCTGTTGCTAGTGTAGGTTCATGTGTAGACTCTAGTCCAGCGGCTACCTCAGAGGACGGTTCGCTGTCGTTCACGCTGGACTCTGGAGCCTCTCACTGCTTCTTTCGTGACAGCACGACACTTACGCCTCTTCCTGCGCCTGTTTCTGTGGCGCTGGCTGATCCCACTTCGGGACCAGTCACCGCGCGTCACACTACCACCTTGCCGTGTCCGGCTGCTCCTTCTGGGTCTCTCACTGGGTTTCACGTCCCCTCGTTCTCCCGGAACTTGGTGGGCGTGCGACCCCTCGTGAGTCAGCACGTGGGTGTGTGGTTTGAGCCTTCTGGAGAGACTGCGGTGTGTGTTGACGGGGACTCTTACCAGCCCCTCGCCACTTTTGCTGCTGAGCCGGGCTCCGGTCTCTACACTCTTCACACTGGCCCGCGCGCTCAGCAGCGACTGCAGCAGCAGCAGCAGCCGCAGCAGCAGCCGCAGCAGCAGCAGCAGCCGCAGCCACAGCCGCCCCTCCTGCCCCCGGCCCCTGTTTTGCCCCCCGTTCGAGTCCTCGCGTCTCACCAGGTTGCTCCGTCCCCCCAGGTAGCTGTGTCTTGTCAGGTTCCTCCGTCTAGTCCGGTCGCTGCGTCGTGCTCCTGTCGGTCGCTTGCCCACCCCACCGTTTTGTGGCACCACCGGCTGGGGCACCCTTCTCCTCCTCGTCTTCGCGCTATGTCTCGTCAGCGTCTTGTCTTAGGTCTCCCGCGTGTCTTGCCGTCGCTGCCGCCGTCCCTTGCGCCACCGTGCGGTCCTTGCGTCGAGGGTAGGCTGCGCGCCACCCCTCACTCCTCCTCCCTTCGTCCGGCCACCGAGCCTTTTGAGACGCTGCACTTGGACGTCTGGGGCCCCTCTCCTCGCCCTGGCCCTGAGCGTGAGCGTTTCTTTTTGGTGGTCGTTGACGACTACTCTCGCTACACCACAGTGTTCCCCCTGGCGAGGAAGTCTGAGGTGACTTCTACGCTGATCAGGTGGTTGCTTACCACCCAGGACACTCGTGGTCGTCGTGTCAGCTGTCTCCACTCCGACCGCGGGGGCGAGTTTCGCTCCGGCATTCTCGCTGGATTCTGTCGCGAACAGGGCATTCGTCAGTCCTGGACGCTTCCGGAGTCCCCACAGCAGAATGGGGTTGCTGAGCGTCGCATAGGCCTGGTCATGGAGATTGCCCGCACCTCCTTGACTCACGCCCGTGCCCCCCATTTCCTGTGGCCATACGCGGTCAGGTACGCCGCGCACCAGCTGAACCTCTGGCCACGCGTCTCTCGGCCGGAGGCTTCACCGACCAGTCTTTGGACAGGGTCCCCTGGTGTCGCGTCGAGGTTTCGTGTCTGGGGGTGCTTGGCTCTTGTCCGCGACACCTCAGCGGACAAGCTCTCGCCTCGCGCCGTTCCTTGTGTCTTCCTTGGTTTCCCTGAGGACTCCTCTGACTTCACCTTTTACCACCCTCCCTCTCACCGGTTCTTTGACTCCCGTGACGTCCGTTTCGAGGAGTCCACCCCCTACTACGTCAGGTACCCCAGTCGAGGTCTCCCGGTCCCTCCCCCCCCTCTCTTCCTGACCGCCGCTCCCCCGCCTGCTCCCCCGGTACAGCCTCCCCCCCCTGGTCCAGCCCCGTCTGGTGTGTCTCAGGCTAGCCCTCCCCCTTCGGTAGCCCCCCCTGTACAGCCTCCCTCCCCACAGTCTTCCTCGCCGCCTCCTGCAGGTGCTCCCTCTCGGGAGGTTGGTCCTGCGACTGTCCCTGTACAGGTCTCTGGTTCTGGGGGTGCTGGAGTTGGAGCTGAGCCGCGGGTTGCAGAGGACTCTTGTCTTCCGGGGGCTGGTACTGGTCGTGCGGAGTCTGGGGGTGCTGGTGCGGAGTCTGGGGGTGCTGCGTCTGGGGGTGAGGGTGTCCCTTCGGTTTCTGGAGAGCCTGGGTCTGGAGCTGGTGTTAGTGCTGCCTCTGGGGGTGGTGTGCTTGGTGCTTCGGAGGTCGACTCTGGGGCTGCCGCTGCCCCGGACACTACTCCTTCCCCCCACCCCTATCCGACCAGGTTCCAGGCTCGTGTTCGCCGTGCTCGTGAGGAGCAGCTGGAGTTGGAGAGAGAGGAGAGAGAGTTGCAGCGGCTCGAGGAGCAGGAGCGACAGCAGCAGGAGCAGCAGCAGGAGCAGCAGCAGGGGCAGCAGCCGCTGGAGCAGCAGCAGCCGCAGCAGCCGCAGCAGCAGCAGCAGCAGCTGCTGCCGTCTCCTCCTCCTGTCTCGGGTCTTCGGACCCTTGGTCTCCCCTCTCCCTCTCCTTCCTCCTCCCCCTCTCCTCCTGTCTCTGGTCCTCCGCTTCCTCCTCCTGACCCCTCTCCCGCTGTTTTCCCTCGTTCTCAGTCTTC